TGGTAGGGATCAAGGTCTGATTCCCAATCTAATAACAGCTTGGTTATATTTGTTAACTTGCTCAGAGACGAAGCAGCAATAATAATAATAAAAAATTGACCATCTGCGTGAAATGTGTTAAAAACCGTTTACATGTTTCTTAACTTCTTTATCCTGTAAAGCAGATAATTATCTTCATTTTACAGAAAAAAAAGAAACGGTGTCAGAATGAGGTTTAAAACTTGAGCAAAGGTACACAGTCAATGTAGAGCTCTGATTCAAGCAATTGGAGTAGCCTCGGCAATCCTAACAAAATGCTGGTTGGGGATTAAAAAGTTGAAAAAGCCAGACTTTCAGTGATTAATTGAAGATGACCAAAAATAATCTGCAGGTCTTAGCCCAAACTTAATGTTGTTATTATCTTTCACTTTAAAACTTTTATGTTTTCTGTTTGTGTTTACTTAGACCCCCAGAAAACTTTCTGGAACCCCAGAAAGCTTAGAGAAGGTGGTCTAGTGTGTTACCATGAGGAGTTTGGATTTAATCTGCTAGGTACTTGGGAGTTCGTAAGGGTTTTTCTATAGGAAAATCTGAGGGGAGAAAATGGACTGTAATTTGCAACTTCTAAACTAAGTATAACTAACTGTATAAGAGTAAGAGTACAACTGTAGGAAATCATACATTTTAAAGTAAAGAAGCTGGGTGCTGGTGGCCCACGCCTGTAATCCTAGCTACTCAGGAGTCTGAGATGGGAGGATTGTGGTTTGAAACCAGCCTAGGCTGAAAAGTCTCTGTGAGACTCTTATCTCCAGTTAACTACTCAAAAACCAGAAGCTGCATTGTGGCTCAAAGTGATAGAGCACCAGCCTTGAGCAAAATAGCTCAGAGACAGAGCCCAGGCCCTGAGTTCAAGCCCCATGACGGAAGGAAGAAAAGAAAGGAAGGAAGGAAGGAGAAAAATGCAAAGTGCAGTGATAAGTAACTATAGTCCAAGCACTTGTCTATTAGAAAGAATCTGTTCCAAGCTTCTGCCTTAACCTCCTATGGTTTGATGGCACCCAATTTGCTTTCATCTTCACTTGACGTTCTCCCAGTGTAGTGGTAGTCAAATTTTCTTTTTTTGGATAGGGGGTGGGGGTAGGGTGGGGAAGGATCATTATGGTTTGAATTCAGAGTCTTGCCTTTGCTAGGCATTCACTCTACCACTTGAGCCATACTTCTATTCCTTTTTGTTTTGTTTACTTTTTGGATAGGGTCTTAATTTTGTTTACCTGGAACCAGCCTTGGACTGATCCTCTTAATCTAGGCCTCCCCCATAAATGGGCTTCTAGGCATAAACCATTAAACCCAGCTTGCTGTTGAGATGGAGTTTCTTTTAACTCTTTTCCCAGGCTGGTCTCAACTGCACTTCTGATCTTCACCTCTCTCAAATAGTTAGGATTATGAGTTTTCCTTTTCCTTTTTTTTTTTTTTTAAAAAAAGAATACTAATCATATTAGACTACGGCTAATTATCACAACTTAAGTAATTGTATATACAATGACTCTGTTTCCAAGTAAGGTCACACTTGAGGTTCTAAGGGTTGAAGCTTCAACATCTGAATTTTGAGGGGCACATAATTCAACATGTAAATAGAAACCAGAGTCCAGGGAAATCCACCTATACAAACCACATGAATCAGCTTTGCAGAGCACAAATTAAAATGAAGAAGGATAGAGAGGATCTGGTTGGGGAAAATAGATGGCATAGAGCATATCCATAATCCACTCCCCCAGACATGTTAAATACACTGATTCCTGAGAAACATGAACTTGCACTGTTATTTCCCTGTCTACCTCTTTGCATGTCCCCAGAGGTTGGTGGCATCTTCCTCCCACAGGCCACAACTCCTGCCAAGAAGGCCTGTCTCACAGTTATTTTCTCTAGGTAATCACAAGGGGTCACTTCTGACCCCTTGATGTCTAGGATTGGTGCCAGCTCTCTGTTTTAGCCCTGGAATACTGCATTATTTCTTGATGGTTTTCCCAAATCGTCCTCACATTTGGAAATATATCTTATATTAAAGGAATCAAATTACCCAGTAGTGCACCATCTGCTCTGCCAAGACCATGATATATTTGGATATATTTGGATCTGGGGGGAAAAACCAAATAAACAGAAGAACATCTGTTTGAGAATCTGAGTATGTTAGGGGATTCCCTAATTTCAGTAGTTTAAGTACATTTACCACTGCGTATTAATGGCTTAGAGGATGAGGGAAATTGGTGTGGGGTCCAGAAAACATTTTTTTGACTGGGTGCTGTTGGCTCACACCTGTAATCCTGGCTACTCAGGAGACTAAGATCTGAAGACTGTGATTTGATGCCAGCCTGGGCAGAAAAGCTCATGAAACTGTTATTTCCAGTTAACCATAAAAAAACAGAAGTGGAAGTGTAGCTCAGTGGTAGAGTACCAGGCTTTGAGCAAAAAAGCCAAGTAAGAATGGAAGGCTCTGCATTTAAGCCTCAGTACTGGTAATAAATAAGAAAAGAAAAAGAAAAGAAAAGAAAGAAAAAGTATGTATTGAAGGTCTACCATTGTGCTCCAAGAAATATTCTACTGTTGGAGGAACAGCACAAATCATGGCCCTTGCCCTCAAGAAATAAGTAGCAAGAAACAAACATGTAAATAGCTATTTCCACAAAGCATCACAAGTATAGTAGAAGTCTAGGCTAGAGATAAGAACTTTCGAATGGTCAACATACTGTAAAGGCAGCAAAAGCAGGTGGAATTGGAGATTAAATTAAGAATGGAGTCTAGTCAGTACATAGGAGGCTAAATCAGGAGGATCTAGAGTTCAAGGTTACCCTGGGCTATATAGCAAGGCTTTGTCTTAAGGGATAAACAAAAGAACTAGGCATGTAGCTCTGAGGTCAAGCATGTGTATATGTGCCTAGTCTGTGCAAGATCCTAGGGCCAATTCTAAGCACTACCAAAAAAATAAATATACCATCTTTTCTTTTTGCTGGTCCAGGGCCCCAGGCACTGTCACTGAGCTTTTTTGCTCAATGCTAGTTAGCGTTCTACCACTAAAAGCCACAGCTCTACTTCTGGCATTTTCTGAGTAGTTTATTGGAGATGAGTCTCACTGACTTTCCTGCCCAGGCTAGCTTTGAGCTGCTATCCTCAGATCTCAACTTCCTGAGTAGTTAGGATTGCAGGCGTGAGCCACTAGCACCTGACATAATGCAATCTTGAGAGACTTCAATAATTAAGGAATAGAAGAATGAAAGAAATGCCAGAAAAAGAGATGAAAAAGAAATCGTTACAACAACTTAAGATATATTAAGCGGGCTGGGAAGGTGGCTAAGTGGTAGAGCGCGTGTCTTGCATGCCTGAGGCCCTGGGTTTGATTCCTCAGCACCACATAAGCAAAAAGAAAAAGCCAGAAGTGGCGCTGTGGCTCAAGTGGTAGAGTGCTAGCCTTGAGCTGAAGAGCTGAGAGACAGCGCCCAGGCCCAGAGTTCAGGCCCCATGACCGGACCCCCCCCCCCTCCCCCCAAAAAAAGATATATTAAGCATTTACTATAGATAGGTACTGTCCTCTACTTATATTATCTCAATTATTCTTACAACTCTGTGGGATTGCTTTTATTATCCCCGATTTTTGTTTGTTTGTTTTTGTTTTTGCCGGTCCTGAAGCTTGAACTCAAGCCTGAGCACTGTCCTTGAGCCTCTTTGTACTTAAGGCTAGCTCTTTACCACTTGAGCCACAGTGCCACTTCTGGCCTTTTCTGTTTATGTGGTACTGAGGAATGGAACCCAGAGCTTCATGCATGCTAGGCAAGCACTCTACCACTAAGGCACATTCCCAGCCCCTGTTTGGTGTTTTTGTTGTTGTTGTTGTTGGTTGTGGGGTTTGAACTCTAGGCCTTGGCGCTGTCCCTCAGCTCTTCAGCTCAAGGCTAGTGCTCTACCACTTTGAGCCACAGCACCACTTTCAGTTTTCTGGTAGTTAATTGGAGATAAGAGTCTCATGGACTTTCCTGCCCGGCTGGCTTTGAACCACAATCCTCAGATCTCAGCCTCCTAAGTAGCTAAGATTACAGGCATCAGCCACCGGCACCTGGCTTTCTCCCTGTTTTATACACATGAAAAATGAGGTCCAGAGACAATTATTTGCCTAAGGTTGTAGTTAGCAAGTGTAAAAGACCTGAATTAAACCCAGCTCTGGCTCCAATTTTATCTACCTTACTGCTTGTATACTCAGAAGGAGCAGGGACCAGGAGAGAAGGCAACAATGGTGTGGGAAATTAAGGTAGGAGAGAATTTAAAGGAGAAAAGAGTGGTCAACTATGACATATATCACAGAGAGATCAAATAAATAGATGATTAACAAAATCCTAGTGGATTTTGCAATGAGAAGATTTGAGCTGGTGCTAGTGGCTCATGCCTGTAATCCTAGTTACTCAGGAAGCTGAGATCTGAGGACTGTAGTTCAAAGCCAGCCCAGGGAGGAAAGTCGGTGAGACTTTTATCTTCAATTAACCCTTAGAAACAGGAAGTGGTGCTATGACTCAAAGAGGTAGAGTACTAGCCTTGAACAAAAACCCCAGGAATAGCACCCAGGCCCTGAGTTCAAGCCCGACAGAAAAAAAAAAAAAAAAAAAGATTTGATGTGAACTTCACCTGAGTGGTTTCACTAAGAAGTGGTAGGTACTAGAGGAACAATTGAAGTATTCTAAAAAGTAGCAGTGGAATAAGGCTTCTGTTTGATGACTTTGACATTTGAGAGGAGAGAGAGTAAGGTAAAAAGCAGAGAGACTTAGTTAAACAAACCTGCCTGTGGAGAAAATGGAACTGGTATTTTAGATCTCAGGCGGAAACTCCTAGGCTTCCATGTGTCAGGTCCAGCCACTTGCCTCTAAATGCCAAATAAAGAGACATGGTGAAGGGCAAAGAAAGGAAATTTATTACATGGTATGGACATGCTATAGGAAGATAGCATTTCAGCCAGCCATCTTCGGGCTATCGACATGAGTTATAAGTTTAAATAGACAAAGAACTAGGAGCAGGGGATGAAAGGCAGGGTTAAGCAGTTGTAGTCCTAGGTCAGAGGAATGAGTCAGAGTCCCAGTATCAGGTCAAAGGTGCTATGACAGTCACGATTTGTCAGATGGGATTTTATTACAGTAAGAATAATAATGCCTGGTGGGTTCAGTGGTTTGTTCCTCCTTCCTAGCTTCCAAGATAGTTGTGACTGCAGGAGAGAATATCCAGAGCAAAGGACATAGATACATGGTAGGGATGCCTAGCTTTTATTCTGCCTTGAAGTAATTTGGAGGTCTAAGTAGGGAGTCATGTTTTTCAGCAGTAGTTTTTAAATACCTTTTACAACAGGGCCTTGATTTGTCAGGAAGAGGTTAGAAAGATCAGTGCAATAAAGCCCAAGGAAGTAGACAGGAATAGGTGTGAGGTCTGAGGCTTTGGGATCAAGGTCAAAAGGTTTGCAGAGTCCTGTATCTGTCCAGGGAACTGGGAGCGAGGGGCCTGCTTTTAGGGCTGCTGCCAGCAACTTAGTGGTAGGTAGGAATGGTTGGCAATGTGGGTGGTACAGCAGGATCCAGATTGAGCCATGGCCTCCAGGCAAGAAGGCTGGAGGCCTCGGTAGTCCACCTGAGCCTGGGAGGAACACAGGGGCAAGGGAGTCTTCTCTGAGGACTTAGGTAGGATTTCAAGGAGACTGGGTTCCACTTCTTCATAGCTATCTGTGACAGTAGCCTTGGGCTGAGAGAAATGGACAAAAGGAGCTGGGTTAGAGCAGATCCTGGTGAACTGGATGCAGTGGAAGGAGAATTGGGCTAGGGGTAGTACCTGGGGGTGGTACACTGCTGGGTAAGACCCTTGAACAAGTTGCATTGGGTGGTGACAAGGGTCACGGGTGGTGAGGAGAGGAGAAAGTAGGAGAGAGGGTGTACTCACTGGATTCAGGGCTGCAGTATCTCTAAGGTACTGGCCGAGGACGCGGTGCAGGTCTGGAAGTGAGGGCCACAGGGCATGCCTCAGTCTCCTAGGGGTAAAGAAAGATGGGGAGCCTGAATTGTGGGAATGAGTTGGGATGGATGAAGAGAACAGTGAAGCAGGACAGTGGGGTCGGCAGTGAGGTGGAGAAATACAGCTTGGAGAGATAGAGGTGTAAAGGAAGATAAGGAAACCTCAGGTAGGAGAGGGAGGTGGTCACTGGTGGGCTGCTTCAAAAAGAATAGTGCAGAGGGGCTGGGAAGGTGGCTCAGTGGTAGAGCCCTTACATTGCATGCATGAGGCCCTGGGTTCGATTCCTCAGCACCACATAAGCAAAAAGAAAAAAGCCGGAAGTGGCGCTGTAGCTCTAGTGGTAGAGCGCTAGCCTTGAGCTAAAGAGCTGAGGGACAGCGCCCAGGCCCAGAGTTCAGGCCCCATGACCTGACCCAAAAAAAAAAAAATAGTTCAGAGTATTGAGCAGAACTTCCCCAAATAGTCCTGCTTTAGGACCTTTGCACTTGATCTTCTCTCTCCTGAAACATTTGGCCCACACTTCATTTACATCTCTGTTAATATGTTATCCGGATAAGCAATGCCCTCTTCGTTGCTAACATTACCATTTCCCTTCCTCCTCACTATTTTATGCTCTGCTTTATTTTCCTTCATTCCTTTCTTTTTTATGGTGGTTGTTTTTGTTTTTGTTTTTTAAAGACAAAGTCTCAGTATAATTGATTGGGCTGTCCTCAACTTGGGATCTTTCTGAGTATGTGGAGTGCTGGGATTCCAGATGTGTACCACCATGCCTGGTTTCATTTTTCCTTATAGCACTTGACTTATTTGTTTTATATTTATTGTATTGGTGTGTGTGTGTGTGTGTGTGTGTGTGTGTGTGTGTGTGTGTGTGTGTGTGTGTGTGTGTGTGTCTACTCCCTAGATCAAACTCATTGGGAACAGAGTTTGTGTATTTTTTCACTCCTGTATCTTCAGCATCTGGAGGATCATAGTAAGTGCTTAAGAAATTACTTTAGTGAATGTACAAAACCACTGGAGCTTCTTATTAAATTATGAACTGAGCTGGGTATCAGTGGCTCATGCTTGTACTCCTTGCTAGTCAGAAGACTGAGACCTGGAGGGTTTCACTTCAAAGCTAGCCTGGGCAGAAAAATTTATGAGACTTCATCCCCAATAAACTAGCAAAATGCTAGACTGGAGGTATGACTCAAGTGGTAGGGTACCAGCAATGAGCAAGAAAGCTTAATACTTTGAGTGAGAGCTTAATACTTTGAGTTCAAACCCTAGTACCAGAGGAAGAAAAAGTTCCTACACAGGGCCATCTATCTGGGAGTACAGTCTAAGATGAATTGGGGAGCCCTCCAGTTCTTTAACCTTATAATTCTATGCAGGGCTTTAGCTAAACATTTCTGGCTTCTTCCATTACGTCACCTCTATGTCCTCAAAGAAAATAGGGTGACTTACCTAATTGTAGAAAAGAAATGCAGTATTCCTGGTTCAGCAACCCCCACCCCCCCTAATATTTTTGTTGGATCTGCTATCTGCATGAAGGTTTCATTCCAAGTTGTGCATACACATAGGCAGACTAAAAGTTCTAAGAGAAACATGTTCAAAGAGAGCTGTGAGACCACAAGAGGAGTACCTAATCTAGCCTAGGACTATGAAAACACAATGATTGGAGGAGCTCACTTCTAAGTGTTCACAAACAGCAGACTGTACCAGTTGGAGCACTGAGGTGGTATGGATTCTATCCTTCATGCTTATAATTTCCAGTGGCATTTCTCCTCAGCCCTCACAAAAGTGAGTTACTCATTACTAACATTTATTTAAGGGCCTGCTACTTGGCAGGCTCTGTGCTGAGGATTTAAAAATGACCAAGTAAGGTATAATGGAGAAGACATAAAGAAATACATACAAGACCAGGGAGATGGGGGTGGTTCAGTGGTGGAGTGTGTGCTTAACGTTATGCATGAGCCCTGAGTTCATTTTTTAGAAAAAAGAAAGAAAAAAACACAATAAAACCATAAGAAAGCACAGAAGAGCAGTCAATAAAGGCAGATCAGGAAGAGATTTTTAAGAGTACGTGAAGTTATTTATAGATGAATGTGTATTACTTAGCCAGGAGAATAATCAAGGCACAGAGGACATTCTGTGCAAAGCAGCTGAGAAGCAAAACAGGCTGTGGCGAAAATCACCCAACAGTTTAGCCAGGCTGATACACGGGATGGAAGAGGGTGTGGGGCATGCAAGACTCACTGGTCTGGCTTTTATCCTGGGGAACTATTGAAGGGATTTAAGGAGGAGAATGACAGGCTCACAAGTGCCTTTTGGAAAGGTTTTTCTGGTGGCTTTGAGGCTAGATGGGAGAGAGAAGAGGCTCTGTTTCAGCGAGTCAAGTCGTGTGTCTGGTTGGAGAAAGGGAGTCATTGTTTGAACAAGGGTTTAGAGGTGAAAGGACCAGACATGATGGCCTATTGGATGGGCTGGGGTGGAGGGGGAGGCGCTAAAGTGTCCTGGTTGGGGGCCAGATCACTGACGTGCGCAGTGAGAAGGGGCTGTTTGAAGTGAGCATGTTTGACTCCGGGGGCGTGCAGGAAACAGCTGAAGTTGCAGAAGTAGACTTGGCGTGGCGTCCAGTGACCCTAGGATGCGGCTTCTAAACAAGGCTCCGGGGCCAGGCCGGGCCCACTGCCCTTCTCCCCCTTGGCAGGGACGGTACCTGTAGTGCACGGGAAACTGCCACCTCAGCAGCAGCAGGCCCAGGAGGGCACTGAGGCCCAGCACCAGGAGCAGAGCCGTCACCAAGGAGATCCAGGCTAGGGGACAAAAATCATTTGACCTTGGCTGCTCCCCCCTCCCCCTCCCGGCTCCGCCCCTGCCTCCCCCCGGCCCTGCCCTGCCCGGGTCACCCGGGGAGCTGCGCCCCGTCCGCCCTGCCTCACCGCTCTCCGAGGCCGTCTCCACCCTCGCAGGGTCAGACCAAGCGCTCCACGGGCCCCGGTAGGTGGGACCGTGGAGCCGGGCGCGCAGCTGTAAGCTGTAGCGGGATCGGGGTCGCAGCTCCAGGCTTCCTCCCCGGGCCCCTAGAGGCGGCTCCAGCACCTGCGCGGGGAAGCCAGCGGTGGGCCGCGCTCGGGCCTGCAGCGGGCCTCCAGCGCTCTGCTCCAGTTGGACCAAAATCCCACCGCGTCAAATCCCCAGGAAGGCTGGGATCTCCACCCAGGGCCTGACTGCCTGCAAAACGCTCTTCCTCCCTTAGCACCCGGGTGCAGAACCTGGACCTCTCCCCTGTTGCCAGAGAAGCCCACCAGACAGAGTACACACCCTTTACTCAGACCTGACCTTCCCAGAGCCAAGCAACTGGACCATGTGGGGAACCCCCCCCCCCCAACCCGCACAGAGATCTCTGACAAGGAGATGCGGCCCTAATTGGGCCCTGGCCACCCAGAGACACACCCAAGTGGGAGACGTATTAACTTAACGGCTTAGGAAGTTAAGAATTGCTCAGAATATGCAAACATTGTGCTTGGCACTGGAGGCAAAGATAAATGACCCACAGTCTCACGTATCTAATGAGGCAGCCAAACAAAGAATCACAACTAATTAGTACAAAGCACCATGGTAACCCAAAGAAACATTCAATGCTGCCTGAGCTGCTTGGTTGGGGATTAAAGGATAGTTCAGTATGCTAAGGCCACAGATGGCAAAGTTGGATGGTCAAAGAGAAAGCTAAGGTAGTAGTAGTAAGGATTTGAAGAATTAGTATGTTATTTAATGTACTTGTTGATTAATAGGAAGGAAAGAGAAAGGAAAAGACTATATGATTCCAGGCTTTGTTACACAATAAGTAGTGGCAATGTCAGAGACAGGAAGCAGGAGTAGCTTGAAGAAGTGCTGTATGGTTCTAGTTTATACAGTTTAACAGTTACTGGGTTTAGTGGGTTCCATTTGTAGTTCCAGCACTCAGGATGCTGAGGCAGGAGAATCCTGAGTTACAGGCCAGCATAGACTACATAGTGAACTCTGTCTCAAAAAAGAAAAAAGTTTACATCCAAACCAATTAATGGTAATGTCAGATAGTGATTCCTCTTTGGTGGTAAGGTGAATAGCGGACAAAAGTAGTTTATGGGATGCTGGAAATAATTAGTATCTTGGTCTTGGTAATGGACACATAGCTGTATGTATGTAAAAACAATTCAACATTTAAGGTTTGTACACTTCATTGTATGTGAGCTAAATCTTAGTACATTAGAGGGGGCAGATGAGTTTAGTTTTGAATACAATGAATTTGAACTGTGTGAGATAGGGTGGTTGTTTTAGGTACAGCTTTCTGGTAAGAAGTGTGTATCTCTCTCTCTATTGTATATATATAAAGTAGGCAGAGAAATAACGTTAGTGTATTAGAGCACCTTCTGTATGCCAAGCACTATGCTAGGTATTTATTTGTTTATTTTCTAACTCTATATAGTAGATGGCATTATTTACATTTTACCAACAAGGAAGTACAGACTTTGAAAATTGAGGTAATTTGCCTATGTTTCTTAACCTCTTTTCAGAGTGGAGTTAGGCTAGCCATGGTGGCTCATATCTATAGTCCTAGTTGGGAAGCAGAGATAAGGAAAATCAAGGGTCCTCCAGCTAGCCTGGCAAGAAAGTCAGAGAGACTGCATCTTACCCAATAAAAGGCCAGAGCAGTGGTGTTTACCTAATCACCACATTTATGCAGCAAGTGTAAGTAGGAGGATTGCCCTAGGCTTGCTGGGCATAAATACAAGACTATATAGAAGCAACAAAGATGCTGAGGCATGATTAATTGGTAGAGTATCTGCCTAGCAAGCAGGACCCTTACTTAAAACCCATGTGTGTGTGTGTGTGTGTGTGTGTGTGTGTGTGTGTTAGAATGGTAAAACTGGGATTATTAGGATATAGATATTGTAACCATGGGACTGAAGCACTCACCTAGAGAGATGTATATGTTTACGTAGAGGCAAAGTGTCTAACATGAGACTCTAGGAAACAGCAGCTATTATGAACGACTGGAGCCAGAATAGGAGCGTGAGAAAATTCAGTCAGAGCCTGATATTCCAAAGATAAATAGAAAAGAACATTTGAATCAGGGGAACCAGCAGTGTCACAGGCCCAAGAGCAGCTACAGCTGAATCAGATTAACATAGATGTACAAGCCTGACCATAGATAGAGGAACACAGTATAGACGTGGAAGACCTTAGGAATGGTATGTGCAGTAGTCTGTGGATATTTATTACTTGATTGTACCTTCCAGTTCTGATGGCCTTCTCCTGTGTATCGAAGTTGATAGCAGGTCTCTTGGGCTGCCCAGGAGGATGGGTGCTGCCACTCCAACTCCAGCTGCCCGCTGGACACCTCCTTCCAGTGCAAGCTTGGGGTGGGGAGGAGTACTACAGGGAATTCAGCAGGGCCTGGGTTAAGCCCTTTTGTGCATGAGGCATCGGTCAGAAGGGTTAAAGGAATCACATACATACATTTGGTGGGAGTGAGAACAGTGTGGGAGGAATAGGGAAGATCTTACCAGCCTGGTGGATCCAGAAAGGGGATCTTAGGTAGCTGTGAACAGCACCCTGGGCTGTGGTCACCTCTACAAGCACGTGAATAACACTGTCATTCTGTGACCTGAAGTGGCAGCGAGAGAGCTGAGGAGGCTGTAATCCTGGATTTGGTTCTGCCTCTTCTTCACACTTCTCCCAGACAGGGTCCCTAAGAAGCAGCCCAATATGGTGATTGCAGCAGGCCTGTCCAAAAGAATCACCTCTATCCTCCCCATCTCACAGAAACTATGGCCCATGTGGATTGCAAATCTAACTCCTCCCTTGAGTGGGCCTCTGTCGTACACCAGGAGGCCCTGCCTCTTCCCCTTGAGCTGATATGATATTTAAAAATAGCTCAGTCTATAGAATTCAGGTCTTGGCTCACCAGAGTATAACTTTGGGCAAATTATTTGATGTGCCTAGCTGGTACAAGACCTGAGTTCAAGCTCCAGGACTGCCTTCCCCTCAAAACAGCAACCAAAAAACCCCACCAAACACACACACACACACACACACACACACGCACACACACACACACACACACACACCACGCATGCATGCGCACATACACACATACATACACACACACCAAAAATAAAACCCAAAACAAAACTCTACTCTAGTTTCTTCCTGTTTATAAAATGGGTTAATACCTACTTCATAGAATTACTTCGAAGAGTAAAGATCTTTCATCTTTCTAGAGGGGAAACATCTTTATATTTTTTAATTGTTCTCATACAGATACCCTCCATTGGGTATTTTGCATTAGATTATTACAACAGCTTCCTAAATGACCTTTTGCCTCCATTTCTACCACTGCTCTCAGTTTATTCTCCATACAGCTACTAGAATATACTTCAGATATCAATTGGACAATGTCCAGAGTATATCATAAATCTATTTATTTTTATCTTTTCAAGATGAAACTACCATTGTTTCTTGCCTAGATTAAAGCAAATTTTTAACCGGTAGCCTTCTACTCTTATTTCTCTTACAAAGACATACTCTTCTATTTGTTACTTCTACATTTTTTTTTTTTTTTGGTCGGTTGTGGGGCTTGAACTCTGGGCCTGGGCACTGTCCCTCAGCTCTTCAGCTCAAGGCTAGTGCTCTACCTCTTGAGCCACAGTGCCACGTCTGGTTTTCTGAGTGGCTTATTGGAGATAAGAGTCTCATAGACTTTACTGCCTGGGCTGGCTTTGAACTGTGATCCTCAGATCTCAGCCTCCTGAGTAGCTAGGATTACAGGCATGAGCCACCAGTACCTGGCTTTTTTTACTTTTTGAGAGAGGGTCTTGCTATAGTGTTCAGGCTGGACTTGAACTCATGATTTTCCTGCCTTAACCTTTTCTGAGTGCTGGGACTCTACCTGGATTTTTTTGTTTCTTTTTGTGCTGAAGATTGATCCCAGTGCCTCATGCTTGCTAGACAACTCTCTGCCACTGAACTATGTCCCTAGCCCTGATCTATCTATCTATCTATCTATCTATCTATCTATCTATCTATCTATCATATTATTATTCACTTTTTTTTTATGCCCTCCTTAGACTTGAATGTTGGACCTGGGACTGTTCCTGAGGGGTATTTTTTTGCTCAAGGCTAGCATTCTACCATCTGAGTCATAGATCTACTTCCAGCTGTTTGGTAGTTCATTGGAGATAAGAGTCTCATAGACTTTCCTGCTTGGGCTGCTTCGAACCACAATACTCAGATGTCAACCTCAAGGAGTAGCTAGGGTTACAGGTGTGATTTAAAGGCACCAGCTTACTCTTCCCCTTAAAAATCTTTCAATGGCTCTTCATCCCACTTGGCATAAAATCCAAGCTAAACTGGGTGCCGGTGGCTCACATTTGTATCTTCTCAGGAGGTTGAGATCTGAGGATTGAGGTTAGAGGCTAGCCCAGGCAGGAAAGTCTGTAAAACTTTTTATCTCCAAAAAACTACTCAAAAAGACTGGAGGGGGGTGTGGAGGTGGGGAGTGGGGAGAGGAAGGGCTGGGAAGGGGAAACAAAGGAGGAGGCAACAATGCTTGGTAAGAAATGTACTCACTGTCTTGTCCATGTAATTGTAACCTCTCTGTATGGTATTTTCACAATTAAAAAAAAAAGGCTGGAAGTGGTATTGTGGCTCAAGTGGTAGAGTGCTAGCCTTGAGTAAAAGAAGTTCAGGGACAGCATTCAGGCCTTAGGAACAACAAAATTTTTTTTTTTAAAAATTAGGCTAAATGTTATGCTTATAGACTCTATGTGTTTTGATTCCTCCTTCCTTAACTGTTCTTTTATCCTGTGATTTTCATACCCTTCATCTATGTGGGCCTTCTGTCTCTATCACAAATATGCCAAATATGTCCTGTCTTTATGTTTTGCCTTTGTCCTGCATTTCTCCCTTTTGTCTCTTGGATCTCAGCTAACCTATTACCTCTTTGATGAGGCTATTGTGAGTACTCAGTTTAAAGTAATACTTCCTTTGCTTAGTCTTTATTATATGTATGTATGTATGTATGTATATATATATATATCTGAAACTTATTATCCTTGTCCTTCTCACTACTCCCCACTAAAATATAAGCCCTATCAATGCTGGATCTTTTCCCTACTTAAAAAAATGTTATTATTGTTATTGGGGATCAAATCCAGAGTTTCATGCATATTAGGCAAGCACTCTTTCACTGAGCTACATTCCTAGCCCTAGAATCTTTTTTGTTTTGTCTCTCTATCCCCAATGCCTGGCATATAACTCACCTCAAAAATTTGTTTACTAAAAAAAAATTTGTTTACTGAGCAAATGAATCATGTCTGATTCTTGATTACGATTCCTAAGTAACTTGTCATCTCTAAAACACTATGTATATATTTATATCTTTACCCATTTAGTCACCAAACAATTGTTACTCATATGCCAGGCATTGTGCTAGGCATTCTGTGTACATAGAGGAATAATCTTCAATGAAATATCATTTCATTGGGAGAAGCAGAAAAACAGGTATTTTCTGTAACATGGACAGGCTGACCTGGGAGCATCACAGAGGGACGTCTAACCTTGACTGGAGAGACAGGGTAAAGGGAACAAATGAGCATCTCAGGTACATGCTTATGCTCAGATAAGATATTCACACATATACATACAGTGCTTTGGGGGAAATACTAAATAGTGCAGAATGGTATTAGGATACAGGACCTGGTGATACACTGTAACATGACATAAGGCCTGGTAATAATGCTTGTGAGAGTACAGCCCAATCATGGATGGCTTTGTGGCCTTTCCAAGGCGCTTGGACTTAATCTGGGACTTGAACTCAGGGGCTGGATATTGTCCCTGAGCTCCTTTTGCTCAAGGCTAGCACTCTACTACTTGAGCCACAGCACCACTTTCAGCTTTTTCTATGTGGTACAGAGGAATTGACGCCAAGGCTTCATACATTCTAGGTAAGCACTCTACCACTAAGCCACATTCCCAGCCCACTTGAATTTAATCTTGAAGAAAATGTGGAGACAGTTAAGGATTTTAAACAGAAAAGTGTCATAATTATCATGTACTACATAAGGTCACTCTACCTGCAGCTTGTAGGAAGGATTTATGAAGGGTAGGTAGAAAGAGAGGAACCCATTAGGTCATTGTTGTGGTTTTTCATGTGCCAAGTGATGAAGGTCTGAAGATAAGTGGTGGAGGTGGGGTAGAATAAAGATGATTCAAGAGATATTGAAGAGGTGGGAGGGACTAGTCTATTTCTGATGGATGTAGAAAACGTATGAATGGAGAATGTCCTGCGTGACTTCTACGTAGAAACTGAGTTCATGGTAGAATAGAGGGCAATCAAGAGGAAAAGTAGAAGCCGGTGCTCGTGACTCATGCCTATAATCTGAGCTAATTGGGAGGCTGAAATCTGAAGACTATAGTTCAAAGCCTGTAGATAAATACAAGAGACTCTTACCTCCACTTAACTAGCATAAATCTGGAGGTGGATCTCAAGTGGTAGAGTGCCAGCCTTGAATGGAAAAGCCAAAGAAGAGCACAAGTCCCCGAGTTCAAGTTCTAGTACTGGCACACATACACATGTACACACACACACACCACACACACATGTACACACATGTACACACACACACCATGTAGACATGTACACACATGTACACACACACACATAGAAAAGCAGGTTTTGATAGAATAAATGATTATTTCAGCTTTGTCACCCTTTCGTCCATGCATGGATTGTACCTCTGCACAATGGAAATCTGTACTGTTTATTTAAAAGAATGACATCTTTTTTTTATTTCTGGTTGTGGAGCTTGAACTCTGGGCCTGGGCACTGTCCCTCAGCTCTTCAGATCAAGGCTAGTACTCTACCACTTGAGCCACAGTGCCACTTCCAGTTTTCTGGTGGTTAGTTGGAGATAAGAGTCTCTCGGGCTTTCCTGTCCAGGCTGGTTTTGAACTGCAATCTTTAGATCTCAGCCTCCTGAGTAGCTAGAATTACTGATGTGAGCCACCGGTCCCTGGCAAGAATGACATCTTTTTGTAATGAGTTCCAAGACATAGTTAAAAACAGAATTAACAAACAACGCTCAGTGATAGAGCACTTGTCTAGCACATGTGGGACCTGGGTTCTATTCCTAGCACCACAAAAACAAGTGTTAAAAAAAAAACGTATGTATAATGTGATCATATGTGTGTATGTGTGTTTAATTTAAAAAATGTGGATATGTATGTTGCTCTTAGGGCTGCCCCTGAACTTCCGTGTTCTAGCTAGCACTCTACTGTTTAAGCTCCACTTCTGACTTTTGGTGGGCAATTTTAAACCACAATTCTGAGATCTCAGCCTCCTGAGTAGCTAGGATTATAGGGCTGAGCCACAGGTGTTTAGCTCTCAATAATATTTTATATAATTTTTAAATGTATAGAAGCAAACACATACATTAAAAAATTGTTGTCTTCTTTTTTTTTTAATGCCAGGGACTGAACTCAGGGCATAGGCTCTGTCGTTGAGCCTACCCTGAGGCTAGTGCTCTACCACGTGAGCCACAGTTCCACTTTCAGCTTTTTCTGTAGTTTATTGGAGATATGAGTCTCATGGACTTTCTTTCTTTTTTTTGGGTCTGGTCGTGGGGCCTGAACTCTGGGCCTGGGTGCTGTCCCTCAGCTCTTCAGCTCAAGGCTAGCGCTCTACCACTTGAGCCACAGTGACACTTCTGGCTTTTTTTTTTCTGCTTATGTGGTGCTGAGGAATCGAACCCAGGGCCTCATGCATGCAAGGCAAGCGCTCTACCACTGAGCCACCTTCCTAGCCCCTCATGGACTTTCTTGCCTGGACTGGCTTTGAACTGTGATCCTCAGATCTCAGCCTCCTGAGTAGCCACCAGCACCCAGCAATTGTTGAGTGTTTTAAAAATTATTCACTCATTGAACTGTTTGGTAATTTATTTTGCTGGTATTGGACTTGTGTAAGGTCCATGTAAGGTGCACATTCAGCCTGCTTGCTCATGGTTGATAGCTGATGCTCTACCACTGGAGCCTGTTTTTTGAGACAGGTTTCAATAGGCTGGCCTCTGCCTTAGCCTCCCTTATGATCCTCTTGCCTCCTGAAAGCTAGAAATACAAGTATGTGCCACCACATCCAGCCACCATACCCATATCACTGAGCAATTTTCAGCTAAACACCTGTTGTATTTCAGGTAGATGAGAACATATTTGTGCATAAAAACAGGTGGATTTTATCCTTTGGGGTCATATATAGTCAAGGTCAGCTTTTCTCAACTGGAGTTCTAAGAGAGAACTTTTTAGTCAACCAAATAATCACATAAAATGTAAATGGTAAACTATGAAAAGAACAAGAATGTAAAATTGTGTGCTATTGGATTCTAATAAGAGAGTTCCCTGAGGGAGTACAGAGAAGTAAAGATAGGAGGGAGAAATAGTATGTGCTAAGACTCAGAAGCAGAAGGGACTATGGCAGATATAAGGGAGCCAATGAAGGCCAGTGCTGGAACAGAGGGAGCAAAGGGCAGTATAGCATAGAAGCTGAAACACATGGGAGGTAGATCTTCAGAACTTTATAAGGCCATGATAGACTTCTTTAAAGCTGGGAATGTTCTGTTCAGTTTAGTACTTTCAAAAGAACTTTCCAGCCCCTAGGCGGAGAATGATTGGAAAGGTAACAGTTCTTTTCATGAAGTGAGAGATGATAATGGCTTGGACCAATGTAATGGCAGCATTATACTACAGTGGATATCATCTAGAGATATTTAATTGGTAGAAGTCAAAAGTTGGTAATGTGTGTCAGTGAGGAGTTTGGTAGACATCCCAAAAGGCCAGGCTAATTTTTGTCTAGATTCAACAGATCGGAAACCATACTTGACCATGCAAAGTTGTATTACATATTTGAGTGTGGAAGGCTATACCAAGTATGAGTTTTACACAGATCTAGCAATGTTTGAGCTTAGCTAAGATCACAAAGTACAAAGCATGGGGAACAAATTGAAGTAAATGAGACTGTAGGCTGTAACAATGATGTGATGTGATTAAAGCATTCCCAGGAGGAATGGAAAGCTGAGGTTGAGAATACAAAACATTCATGTGAGAATGGGAGAGTAAATAACAAAGAACAGAGCCTAGTTAGCAGTCAAAAGCAGGAGAGTGAAGAGTTCCATGAGCAATCTTTACATTTTTCTGCTGTTTTTAGCATCTCTCTCATGATATCACACCAACCAAAAACTCAGTTCAACTCTTACCTGTCTCTGGGGCAGCACCGTGTCTTACTGTGGTGGAAGAAGCCTTGAGAGCTAGTATGGTTGTGTTGCTGCCACTGACAGGTAACATTCTTCAGGTCCAAGGTAAAGCATTGAAGCCCAATTGTCACTGAGGTCAAAATATGAAGCCCTATCAGAGCCATGCATAGTCTATAGAGCTGTAGATAGAGTATCCAGATAATTTTTACAACTACAACAGAATATCTGCTCTGTTCTCTCTTCTCTCACTTGAGCAGAGTTTGCCCTATACAATGGCAAGCTTGAGGTTATCAGGCAGGACCATCATTCTCAGAGCCTTCACATTCAACCTAAGGTTTCCTACAGTTCTTCTTCTTCTTTTTTTAATCTCCTTCCTATCTCCCCATTTCTTTATTGACCCACCTGCATCCCGGGGAAGGTCCACAGTCACAGGTAAAGACCAGGATCCCCAGGAACCATGGAGGGAGACCCCATCAGGCTGGCTACGCAACTGGAGCCAATAGGACTTGCCAGGCTGGAGCCCTGAGATGAGGCAACTTCCACCCCTGACTTTCAGAGATGGAGCCTGGGGATAAAAATCCCAGCATCAGAATCTAGGTCTGCCTCTCATCCGAGACATCTACCCCTAATACTTGAAGCCCCATACCATGTGTGTTCAGAGCTAGCACCTTACTGGTTAGATGTACAACACACAGAATGGGGACCAGATTGGTGGGTTTCAGGGGATATTCAGAGATTTCTGAAAGGAAATCTCCATTAACCAGGAGGCCCATTAGATCTCAATTTTGTCAGTGTAAATGATGCAAAGTGAGATACCACTTAAAGAGAGAGGGCTCTAATCAGAGTCTACAATAACTTCCAAGGACAAACCGAGTTTAGAATTTCCAAAGTATGACCTGTCCCTGACTGGGGAAATGTTGGGGGAAGGGGATAGGAGGTAGAACAGAAGGAGGTTCAAATACTTCTCCAGTTGGAGAGGTCTCTGTTGGTCCATCCTGCTGGGTTGCTGTGGGCAGAGCACATGGAGACTGGTGTAGGGTGGAGGCGGGATTTGGCCTTGGCAGGGTGGGGCAGCAGGTTTCAGTGGGGAGCAGCTGTATAACTGTGGGGCCAGTGGAGTTCCTGGGATCTGCAGGGCCATAGCGGAGTTCATGCCTCAGGAATTCACTGATTTCAGGTGCTGGGGCTTCCCACCGGATCTGAAGTTCCCCTGGCTGACTCCCACCCATGGCCTTGATGATATGGGGGGGAGCTGGTAGACCTGAAGAAAGGTAGGGTAGATCAAAACTGTGAGTGCCACCAACTATGATTCAACCCATGCACTGCAGAAGGGGTGCTGGAGGTGGAATTAGAAGCAGCTCTGATTTTAAAAGATCACAGGTCATCACTCTCTGGAGCTGAGTGACAAGTAGGAAGAATGATTCCTTATCTTGTTCTCCTTTCCTCACAAGAAGAGCGACCTCACTATAGTGTAATGGTTTGCCAGATTCCATGCTCCTTACAGCAGGGACCACTTTTCATCTCCGTATTTTCCTCTCCTGACATGGTACCTGGCACCCAGAGGTGTTCTACAACTGTTGAATTGATGAGTAAATAAATAGGTGAGTGGTGGTATGAAGTGATTTGTAGGTTAGGTCTAGCTCTGGATACTAAAGTTGGAGCAAATGGTAAAAAGGATCTCAAGATGCCTCTGGGGGTCAGAAAGTGGGGAATGTCCACATTATCTACACAAGTCTGATTCTAGGAGCTAGATTGCAGGCAGAGAATGGAATGACTGAGATGTCCTTACCCACACTATCCACAAAGATCACTCGTTGCATCAGAGTCTGGTTCAGGAACACATTCTTCACCCAGAGATGCAGTGGAAAAAAGAGACGTATTTCATCCTGGGCTGGAAACTGGCACACATGACGGGTCCCAAAGTGGGGCACGCTCTGAGAGATCAGAGGGCAGGTGCGGGGCTTCTCTCTGTTGGCAGAAGAGAGGTCCTACCTACACAGCCACCATGCTTAGCCTTGAGGACCCAGGTGGGGCCCATGCCCAGCTTCTGTTTCCATTACTGCCACTTTCTTCTCACTCACTGGCATAGTGGAATGAGGCTTGGGTGGTGGCTTGAGCTAGGCCATGCATAAGGTGGCTACTTAGAGCATGTAGTGTAATCATGCCCTGATAGGGCCAAAGACAGGGAAGCTAATAGGATGCGCAAAGTACAGGGGCAGATATATGGGGGAGGGGGCACAGCCCAACACCTACCCTGGATAGGCATATAGCAGTTGATATGTCCCACTGGGTCCTGCCTCTTCCTCATCCCAGAAGCAAGTGAGGTCCTCAAATGTTTGGGAGAAACAGTTCAGGGGCTCTGAATCCGAGGTCAGCAAGGAGACATCTAAGAAATAGCTGGTGAGTTGGGCTTTGGTTCCCCTCCTTCTTTCCCCAGACATGTTTATGGGTAGGAAACTAGTGGGGGGCTTCCTACCTCGCATCCCTTCCCAGGACTCCCATCCACTCCTAGGGTTCCCTATGCCTGGGCCCCTCCATACACCTCACCTTGGCTGGTGACTTGTGCCAGGTTTGGAGGGACCAGGAGGAGGCAGGAGGTGACCATGAAGAGGGCCCAGGAGGGCATCTTCTCCGGCACTGTGTGCCTGCCTTAGCCCATCCTCCTTTCAGGAAGCCGGGCCCCAATCCCCTCCCAGGCCAGCCCCTAAGGTTCCTGTAAGATACAGCCCCACGTCCTGTCCCTGTCCCTGCCCCTCTGGGGCCCATCCAGACCACACTGGGGCCAGAGGAGGGGGAGTGGGGAGAAGGGTAGGAAGAATTTGAAATAGAGGACATAGGCCTTTTGGTAGGAGGGAGATGGAGGGGTTTATATTTGACCATCCACCAAAAGGAGAATAAGCCTGTGTGTCCGTGTTAACTGTAACAGAACAGCCTCTATCATCAAGATTAGCAAAATTGAATGAGCACTTAATTAAGCTGCTTACATTAAGCACTTTGTACCTATTGACTTGGAAAGTCATTACAGCAGACTTGCTTTTTCCATTATAAAGATTAGGAAACCTGGATGCAGAGAAGTTAAAGATTTGTCTAAGACCATATGCCTACTAAGACATAAAGCCCAGGAGGGCAACCATCAGAGTCCAGATAGCCATGCTATGCACTTGGGTATAACCTGCTAAGACATGACTGTTGGCCTTACCACAATGGAAGATAGGTATTTCTACTTTAAATAGGTTCTGGAAGCTTGTGTATAAACAAACACATTCTTACCACCCATAGTGGTCAGTCTCTACAGCTGCATTCTACTCAAAGCATGATCTGTTAGGCACAATAGCTGGAGCCTGTTAGAAAAGCAGAATCCTAGACCCTACCCCAGACCAACTGCATTTATCAAAATCCTCAGATAATTCCTGGGCTGGCCTTGATATCCTCCTCCCAAGTAGCGAGGATTACAGGTATGAGCTATAGAAGCCAGGTCACAGCTGGCTTTAGTAATAATGCACATCATTCTTGGAAATTCCTAAAGAGTAGATTTTAAATGTTCTTACAGGAGAATGGTAAGTACGTGAGATGATCCTAAACACATACGTTTAATATTTGAGTGTGTATATGAAGAGAAGAAGGGGAGAGGAATGCAGCTAAAATCCAATATATATCCTACAAAATTGTGAGGGAAAGAGTGGGTTGGGAGGGATGGGTGAGAATGTTGAAAGAGGTGACACTGATCCAGCTGCATTGTATTCATAAACAACGTTGTTGAATAGCTCCTGTGTACAACTACTTAGAGATAATAAAAAATGAAACAGAAAAAGCGATGGTCTTTCATATTTCTATCGGCGTTTTTCAGAATTAGGGATGCTTAACCTCAACTTCTTAGCTTGTGATTGTCTTCTTTATGTTAGTCCAGAGGTCTAGATACAATCTTTAGTAGCAGAGGTGTAGATACAATCTCTTCATGGAAAGCCAGGCTTCCTCCTGGGCATTGAATTGTAGGTGGTTTCTCATTCTGGGAGCGGACTCTTTTCGGGATGGGGGAGGAGGCATTGGGGGTGAGGAACATACATAGCCACATTAACTGCCACATTTACCAGCTCCAGCTCCCATTGCTGGGACTAATTTAATTCAATACCCCTCCTCTTCTTCTTCCTCCCTCTTCTTCTTGAGTTCATTTTACCAACAGACAGAATTTTAGGAGGTGAGGGTAAGTAAAGGGAAGTCCTTGAGGCCTCCTGTGAAGTCTTAATTTTCTGGCACCATTTCTTCACAAGTTGTATCTGAGCCACGTTTGTCCTCTGTCCTACGAGCTCTCAGGTTGCAAAGATCAATAGTAATGACTTTAGATGTACCTCTCCTCCCCGGCTCCTCATCAAGGGTTCTCCAACTTCTGTTAGATCCAGTGAGAAAAGATACCCAGCCTTTTGTTTTGTTTTTGCAGTTTTTTTTTTGGTGGGGGGGTCCGGTTGTGGGGCCTGAACTCTAGGCCTGGGTGCTGTCCCTCAGCTCTTCAGCTCAAGGCTAGCGCTTTACCACTTGAGCCACAGCGCCACTTCCGGCATTTTTCTTTTTGCTTATGTGGTGCTGAGGATTCGAACCCCGGGCCTCATGCATGCAAGGCAAGCACTCTACCACTGTGCCACCTTCACAGGTTTTTTATGTTTGTTTTTGTTCTTATGATGGTCCTGGAGCTTGAATTCAGGGCTGTGGTGCTGTCCCTGAGCCCTTCTGCTCAAGGGTCTAGCACTCTACTATTTGAACCATAGCTCTACTTGTAGCTTTTTGGTGATTAATGGGAGATAAAAGTCACAGATTTTCCTGCCTGGGGTGGCTTTGATCCCTGATCTTCAGATCTTAGCTTCTGCAGTAGTTAGGATTACATTGTGAGCCACAGGTGCTCAGGTTTTTTGTTTTTGTTTTGTTTTTGCGGGGGAGGGGGGGGTAGCTCTAATGTTCATGTAGTCCCAGGACTTTAAATGCTATGTGAATGCTGATGACTTCAAAGTTAATGTCTCTGGCTATGGATTCTTCCTTGGGCTCTAGATATGGATAGCCAACTGTCTGTTTGACTTTGCACTTGTGTGTCTAATAAACATCTTGTATTTCAGATGGTCAAGCTGCATATGGTGGTTCATGCATATAGTCCTAGCTACTTGGGAAACAAAAAAAGGGAGGATCACTTGAGCCCATAAGTTTAAGACCAGCCTGGGCAACATAATAAAAGATAACCATCTCAAGAAAAGATTGCCCAAGAGGAAAATCTTTCTGTGTGTATGTGTGTGTGTGTGCACGTGCTTGCATGCCCCCATGCAACGTGTGTACTAGGGACTGAACTGAGGGCCATGCACTCTCATACAGCTTTTGACTCAGAGCTGGTATTCTGCCACTTGAGCTATCCCTCCAGTTCCCTCAAAGAAAATTATTGATTTAGTTTCTATTGCTGTTTTTTAAAAATTCCTAGTCAGGCCCACCTTTGTATTCAGTTGATCAAATTCCAAACCTCAAAATTGGTTTTGTTTACCCTCTGTTCAATTAATTAACAAGTCTGTCATCTACTACTTTATTTATTTATTTATTTTTGGTCCGGTCATGGGGCCTGAACGCTGGGCCTGGGCACTGTCCCTCAGCTCTTCAGCTCAAGGCTAGCGCTCTACCACTTGAGTCACAGCGCCACTTCCGGCTTTTTTTCTTTTTGCTTATATGGTGCTGAGGAATCGAACCCAGAGCCTCATGCATGCAAGGCAAGCGCTCTACCACTGAGCCACCTTCCCAGCCCCATCTACTACTTTAAAATGAACCCTAATCCTGCACACATTTTAACCATTCCACTCTTCCCGTCCTAGTACACATCTAAATTATAATCGCTTTTTGCTTGGTGCCCTATCTCTACTTCTTTTTTTGTGCCAGTCCTGGGGCTTGAATTTAGGGCTTGGGCACTGTCCCTGAGATTCTTTTGCTCAAGACTAGCTCTACACCACTTGAGCCACAGTGCCACTTCTGGCTTTTTCTGTTTATGTGGTTCTAAGGAATTGAACCCAGGGCTTCATACATGCTAGGAAAACACTCTACCGGTCAGCCACATTCACAGCTTCATCTCCACTCTTAATCCTGTCCAGCCTTCACACAACAGAGTGATAAATTTAACGTGCATATATATATCCTTTGTCTTCACTGCCTTCTTAAATCTCCCCTCCCACGTCAAGACTTCCATTGCCTTTGTAATACAATTCTTGCCTGTCCTGGTCCCTTGAACTTTATTTCCTACCAATTTCTTCTTCATTCCCTATCAGCCACAATAGCTGTACTGTCTTTCTTGTAAATTCTCATCTTACTCAGACTTTCAACACAGTACATCTTTACCATATCAGTTTCCTGGTCTCCTGCTACCTTCTGTAACATTCCCTCTCAGTTTCCTTTGGTGATTTATTTTTATTTTGCTGTTCCCCAGATTTACATTGCTGAGTCCTTTATCTCAGTGATCATATGGTTTCAATATACTTTTTATACACTAGTAACTCTTAAGACCTCATCCCTATCTTGAACTTTAAATTCTTTCTCATTGGACATCTCAATATCAAACTCACCAAGTCCTAAACAGAACCATTACTAACTCTCACACTCCCTTTTGGCGCTTCTCTTTATAAGAAGAGAAGCATCTCATGGGCTACTGAGACATCTAAGCTTGAAATCTGATAGTGATTATCAAATCCTTACTCTGTACTCTGCCATCTGAGTCCTTATCAAGCTCTATGGCTTCTAGAGAGAGGCAGGGGTTAAAGATACATATCCCACAAGGGACTTGTCTATCACTGTCAGAGTTGAGATGGGGTCTTTCTGCACCTGAATGGGGAGAGGTCCAGAGATCCAACACTGCCATTTTCTACTTTACTCATCTTCTACACAACTACAAAGAGCTGCCTTCCCCAGTTCTTAACTTCTTTTGGAAATCAAACAGAAAATGGGACAGGCCTAGAGGAAACGATGCTTTGTAGAGCTGCTTTCTTTGGTTAAAGAGACCTGAAAATTCTTTAAGTTCTAAGCCCAGCTCAGCAGGCCTACACATTTCTGTTGGAATAGAAAACAAACTCCTTGTTTTAGAAAAGCTATTATTTGATTGCTGGATAGCTTTTTATCAGGGGTTGCTGAATGAGGAGTCTTGGGTCACAGTGTACTTTGAAACTGGCTCTCACAGAGGAAGAGATCCTGTTTTTTAGGATTTTCTGGTTTTGTGGTATAAGAACTGCCACCATTGCCAGGGTTATTAGTCAACAGTGAGTTGGGAAGAGAACTGGCTCACATGAGCTTTGAGACCTTGCCTTTTATTTCCCCATCATTTCAAAATTTCAAACACTTACTGAATAGCTGGGATTACAGGCATGTACTGACATACTTTGACTCTGTATTTTGTTTTTAAGATAGAGTCTCCTCTGTTACCTTTGACTGGACTGGTTTCAAACTTAAGTTCCTCCTACTTCTGCCTGTAAGTACAGGCATGAGCAATCAGCCCTGCTAGTGATCAGAAACTGTTTTTATCATTTGAAAAAAGAGGAGAGCCTTTGTGCATGATCTTGATAGGAGGAAGTTAAAGAGCTAAATTTACCACATTGAAGGAAGGTCAAGGAGGAGAACCAATGAGAAAGACAGAAAGTTAACCACCAAGAAACTCCAGATCGAAGGACTGCCCGAGGGAAATTAGGACAGTAATGACAAGTGCTTAGTTTTAAGTTTGTTTCCTACTTTGTGACTGGTTAGTTTTCTCACAGCACACCTAAACATTCGGTAAGTGTTCTGTACCTAGAATCTTGCATTCATGATGCCGTAGGAACCAAGCAAAGGAAGATATGACCACCTCAGGAGCTGAGAGAGGGCGGGAGACACAAAAGTTTAGCAAGAGTAAGAATTCAGATTGGGGAGGAATGGAGAGGATGTAAACTCTGCGAGGGTTCTGATAACAGCAGAGAGGCCACGTGTGATAATGCACATCTGTAATCCCAGCACTTTAAAGACTGAAATAGGAGGCTCTAGTTCAATTCCAATCTGTTCAAAGCAAGATCTCATCTCAAACAAACAAACCAGAAAAAAGCAGAGGGGAGCATAGATTTCCCAGAGGATACAGGCTAAGGACAGAACCGTGGAAAGAGTGACTCCAAAGAGCCACAGCCTTGAGAAGTTTGGGTTACATGCACAAATCTTGTCTGCTTACGAGTTTACGCAGAATTTGGGGTGCTTCTTTTTGCCAGTCTTGGGGCTTGAACTCAGGACCTGGGCACTGTCCCTGGGCTTCTCTGCGCTCAAGGCAAGGACTCTATCACTTGAGCCACAGTACTACTTCCAGCCTTTTCTGTTTATGTCGTACTAAGGAATCGAACCCAAGGCTTCATGCATTCTACCACTAAGCCACATTCCCAGCACTTTGGGGGTAGGTTTATATGTCAATAGCCATGCTTTGCCTCTGTCCCAGATAGAGGAGCTGTGAATATCCCAGAAGGGATTGTTAAATCTCTCCTGCTGGGGTAAAAGCTGAATAGGAGTGGGCATTTATCCTTCCTGAACAACTTCCTCATCTTCCAAAAAGAAACTCTCTCTCTCTCTCTGTGTCTTTCTCATTGTCTCATGTGTGTGCTAGTCCTGGGACTTGAACTCAGGGCCTGGGCCATTGTTCCTGGGCTTTTGTGTTCAAGGCTAGTACCTTACCACTTGAGCCACAGCTCCATTTCTGGCTTTTCTTGGCAGTTAATTGGAGATGAGAATTTCACAGACTTTTCTGCCCCAGCTGGCTTCTAACAGTAATCCTCAGATCACAGAGGTGAGAAAGAGAGAGAGAGAGAGAGATGCAGAGAGAGAGACAGAGACAGAGAGAGACACAGAGACAGACAGAGAGACAGAGAGGCAGAGGATGCAGACTGTCAGCTCTCTGTCTCTGTTCTGTCTTCCATGAGACATCCTAGCCTCTGAGCTGCCTTTACTTAGGCTGCTGGCATCTCTCCAGCTCCTGAATCCTAGGCCTGCCTGAGAAAGAGGAAGGCTCACCCCACTGAAGCCAGCTTTGGGTTTGCCTGGAGAGGGCCTGGGGTAAGATAAGAGGATGAACAGACCATGGGGAGGGGCCTAAGCTGTCCAGAAGGGCCTGCAGGAAATCACCCCTTCCTTGGGGGAGAGGAGAATGAATGAGTCAGGGCTGCTGGTGGGACTTCCGTTTTTGTGGCCAGGATAGGCTGCAATGAAGCCTCTCTAGCCAGGTGCCTACCACATTTGCCTTTCCCAGCTACTTCCATAGTGAGGATTTTCCTCTGGCCTTTGCTGTCAGTTTCTCTGGAAACAAGCTTGTGTTGTTTTGCTCGTCCCTCACTCCAACCCTTGCCCAGCTCAGGCCATCTCCCATGAGAATCGGGTCTGAGAGGGAAGCAGTGGGAACTGAAGCTGGAATGAGGTGGAGTGGGGGCCAGGCAAGGCTGAGAATTTCAACCATGGCCCATGCCTGCAAGCTGAGTTCTGGGTCTATAGTAGTGTTCAGTAGGAATGTGGGGGCTCTTCTGTGTGTGGGGGGGTGGGGTGGGTGGGTTGTTGCCATAGCATTTTGTGTGGGATCAATGTATTTGTGTTGGATTTGACAATTTACTATGCCCTAGTCTGTCTGTTTCCCACTGTGGCAGAGAAGCAGCATTGTACTGTGGCTAAGAGAGAGGAGTGCAGGAACCAGAATATCCAGATTTGGTACTAGTCCTATTACTAGCTGTCAGACTCAGCCAAGTTACTTAAGCTCTCTGAGCCGTTCTCTTTTGTAAAATGAGGAGGAGGAGGATGCCTCCCTAATAGAATCGTTGAAGATTGAATGAATTAATATTTGCAAAGGGCTTGAAACAGTGGTCAGTATTTAAGCACCATCTATTAGCTTTTTGAAGAAATTTTGGATTTCTTTCATTGCTCATGGGTTCTGGCTCAAAGCAGCAGCTCCAGCCATGTGGGACTGGCACACCAGTCTGCGGCAGAGAACCTGTGTATCCACCTGTATTCATGATGAGTTTACCTTTCCTCAATGGACTACCAGGAAAGCCAGTGATGGCGAAACTTAAGTGGGGAATGAAATACAAAGGCTACTTGGCATTTATATGAATAGGCAGCTTGCAAATACAGAAGAACCCATAGATAGAGCATTGTCTGGACATCTGGGTAAAGTTCTGATAAGGTGTTACAATGTCTTTTATACCAGAGGTGTTGAAGAAGATGAGGAAATGGAAGAAAGCTACTTGGAGGATTTTGAGACAATATTTTTTTCCCAATCAGACTTGTGACAAAGATGTTAAAGAAAAAGATCAGAAATGGGAGAATGGTGCCTTTGTGGGATCTATATCTATATCTACATATGTGTGTGTGTATTTCTAGACAATAAAAATTGTCAGCCTGACTTGCTTACTATTCATATGTAGGTATTTACATGCAAAGTTCATTATTGAAACAATACATTGTTGAAACAAAAAAAGGGAAATTTTGATGGTAATAGGACTGGAACTCAAGGCCTTGCATTTATTAGGCAAGTACTCTACCATTTGAACCACACCTCTAGCCTTTTTTTTGTGTTAGTTTATTTTTCAGGTAGCATCTTGCTTTTTCTCTGGGCCTACCTTAGACTACCATCCTGTGTATGCCTCCCACATGGATAGAACAACAGGTACATACTCCATGTTGACTATTTGGTTGAGGTGGGTGGGGTGGTCTCACAAACTTTGTGCCTGGGCTGGCCTCATTCTATAATCCTCCTGATCTCCACCTCCTGAGTGGCTGGGATTCTAGGCATGAGTGACTTGGTTTTGGTTTGCTTGTTTGTTTGTTTTCTTTTTTTTTTTTTTTTTTTACTTTTGTTTGCCTTAATACTAAGTGATTCAATATCACAGAGTTGCTGGTACACTTCAGCCAACCTCTATGTGCTGGAACACCCACAAGACCTCAATACAATTATATTTATGAACAATGGGTGGATTATCATCTTACTGGGTCAGTTGTGGTGACATATGGCTTCAGTCCCAGGTACTCAGGAGGTAGTGTAAGTATATCTGTGTCTAAGGTTATCCCAGAAAAAGCTTGAGACCCCCATCTAAAAAACTAAACATAAGGAAAAATCCTGGGGCCATGGACCAAGAAAAGCATAAGGCCTTGACTTCAATCCCAAGCATTGCCAGACAACATATCATCTTACTTTTTTTGTAAGTTTTTTTTTTTTTTAATGTCACTTGCTGTATCCCAATCCCCGTTTTCACTGAGGAATGTTTCAAAAACTCCTATTCATAATTTTTCAGGCTGGCTCCTGGTACTCCATGATAAAGGTCAAAGCTACCAATATCAGTGTTTGTCTAGGAGTCCATCAAGTTGGAGTGGCGTGCCTCTGGCAGCAGGGGCAGGTGCAGGGCGTCACCAGCACTTTTCTATGCATTCTGAATGAAAGACATGCTGGCATGACAACTGTCGGACAATGTCCCCACAGACAAGGTCTTCCAAGCAGATCATACACTCTTCTTTGTCTATAGTTGTTCCCAGCTTAAAAACTTGTTCAGGAGAATGGTTGAGATGACGAATTAATCGGTTGAGATGACGAGTTAATCGCCTTTGGATTCCTAGGGAATTCCCCATCTCTTGATAGTGCTATTGGGGAATCTGTATACTTCTGATTGCCTTCTAGGGACCAAATTCAAGTTTGTGGATGGTAGAGGACCAATTCTTCATGGATGGCTCTTGACAAGGCAGCCAGGTCTCTGAGGAAGGTGTTGCCCAAGACTCTGTTTGTTTTTTTTCTTGAGGCAGGGTCTTGTGTGTAGCCCAGGCTGGCCTAAGTCATGATTCTTCCCAAGTGCTGTGATTTAGAGGCATATACCACCATACCCAGCAATGTTACCTGTTTTTATTCTTTTAGTGACTGACATCAATCTAATCATATAAACAGAAGCATGGCAGTAGTCATAGAGATAAACAAGATGAGAGGTAAACAAGACATAGCATGGGATAGTGCAGGACTGACTTTTAGGATAGGGAGCAAGAATCCAGGAGGGAAGCCAAGCTCCTTCCAGAACATCATGAGATCCAGAGGAAGGCAAAGGAATCTCACTATGGCTAGCTGACATGGGGAGTGAACTCTGCCTTCCTCTTTTTGGGTCCATCAGCCAGGAGGTAAGTGGCTACTCAGATGGGCAAGTCTGCCTAGAGGCACCAGGAAGATAGGAAACTAGAGACAGGTCACAATATGTCTGATGTTGAATATTGGTGTGAACTGGGCTCCAGCTGGCATGGATTGTGTTTGGACAGAGAAAAGAATCCAAGGTTGGCAGCTATCCACAGATACAAGGGAACATGTTGGTGAGGAGGCTGGAGAGCAGGGAGGGAGTGAGGGACAAAATTGAGACAGAGCTGGGGACTCGTGGAGTTTGTATCCAGAGAGCCCTAGAACTTCTCCCACCCATATGAAGAGACAATTTGCTCAGAGTGCTTGGGTCCCAGACAGCGTGTCCAGGGACAGCACTTCTTTTCCTGTGAAATCCAGTTTCTCTTGTGTTTAGCTCCTTCCACTCACTGACCATCAGTCAAAGGTAGACATTGGCTGCAGCTTCTCAGAGCGTTTATTTTTTCTGAGTACAAGGCAGTGAGGGAGGAATAACTGAACCAGACATGTTAGTGGAATGTGGGCTGGCTTAGGCAAAGGAGTTGAAGTAGGGGCTTAGGGATCAGCAGAATGGGCAGCACATATATGGTGCAGCTAAATGGGAAAGAAGGGCATGAAGGGTAGCCGTAAGAGCAGCTGCAAAGGATGGGGGAACCCTGTTCTCCTCAGCTGCCCCTTTCCTGGGTCTCCTCTCCTCCCCCCTTAAATTAAAATGATTCTTTGAGGCAGCTCAGGTCCAAGTCTAGACGGGACAGAAGACACAGGCTGGAGAGTATTTTGCTCCGGCCAGCAGAGCGAGGTTCTGGCGAGAGGCAGGGTTGTTCAGGCCTCTTCAGCTGTGGCATCAATGCCCGCATAAGTGAAGTTTTCAAATAGCGACATGTTCACATAGGCCTAGGGACAAAGCAAGTTTTAGTATGAACCACTTCTGGACTCGAACTCCTTGACTTTCATGTAGTTGGTACTGATTTGAACAGATTCAAGTTAGCCCCATGATCAAGGGTAGTCCATACCTGCCCAGAGCAGTGAGGGCATCAGACCATAGCTGGGAATCTCAGATGAGAGGCCCTAGACACAAGTGTTAGATGAGGCCTTTCTATGCACTCATCCCATCAATTATTTGTTCATTTGTTTACTCATTCATTCATGTAGCCATCAATTCTATGGCTATTGTTGACAATTCTATCATTTATATGACTGATCATGAATTCATCATGAGTATTACTTAAGATGAATATGACTCTCATCATATGAAGGAGTGTTTTCATCTTCACTCATTTTGATGTATTTCTCCATATATTTACTTGCTTAGTCATTTAGTCACATGGTTGGTTATTAGATTCCATTATTAAGTTGTACACTTATTCATATGATTATCTTATCTACTTGCTAACTTCCCTCCTTCACATTTGAGCCTTTCCTGTCTCATTCATTCACCTATCTATCCTTGGTGAGTGGGCCATTCATGCCTTCTTCTCTGGCTCTGTGCCAGGTAAGGAGAATGATACCAGAAAACAATGTACTGATGGCCTCAGCAGAGGAGGACAGGCAAGTAGTCTGGGACTGTGGGGTGGGAGAAAGGGTTGATGCTGTGGTTAAACACTGACAATCCTGGAAGGCTGTAGATAGGCCTAGGGTCTAACCCAGCAAGGCCTGTAAGGGGGCTGAGTTTTGGGCCTAGCCCGGCTGTAATGACAGCTCCAGCTGAGGGAGTTTGGGTGAGCAGTGTGGTGGGGACAGGGACTCAGTGGCCCTGCACTCCTGTGAGCTTGGTGAGCCTCCACCCCCATCTTGCCCAGCCCCTCACCTTTCTAGCTTCCAGCATGCGGCCCAACTGCAGTGCAATCTGAGCGAATGGAGGGCGCTCATAGGGACGGTCCCGCCAGCACTGGCGCATCAGCTCGTACCTACAGACAGGTGTTGGGAGGGAGGGTCAGGCCACTGTCACCGGGTGGGGTCCCAGGGCTCAAAATCAAGGTTACTCATCACAGACATGAGGTCCTAGAGCTCAAGGGTGAGTGGCTCACACTTCATCGTCACAGTTTCGAGGCTGCTCCATGCGGTAGCCCTGGGGCAGCTTTTCATAGAGCTCAGCACAGGTCATGCCACAGTAGGGGGTACCTCCTGCAGGAGGAATAAGGCTTCTTCAGTCTAGGGGAACCCCGTGGGTAAGGTGGGGTGCTCTGGGAAACTGGGTGGGGAACTCACCAAGGCTCACTATCTCCCAGAGGAGGACTCCAAAGGACCAGCTGAAATGAGAAGGTTAGACTTGATTGCCTTCCAGGACCTGGGGCCCAGTAGTTTAGTCTGTATCTACCCAGGATGTGCAGCCCCGTTCCAGACCCTGCATGTGTCTACTCTGCAAGCACCTGGCCTTGACCAGCTGCCATCTATACTCCATTAATAACCTCTGACTTTGGGTTCAACAGAACTGCATTTTTATTGAATATTTACTATAGTCCATGCACTGATTACATATGTTCATTTAACTCTCAAACCAACTCTATAATAAAGGCTCTATTAGTACCCCATTTTTTTGCCAATCCTGGAGCTTGAACTCAGGGCCTGGGCACTATCCCTAAGTCTCTCTTTGAACATTTGAACTCAGGGCCTAGATGCTGTCCCTGAACCCTTTTGCTCAAGGCTAGCACTCTACCACTTGAGCCACAGCACCACTCAGACTTTTTCTGTTCATGTGGTACTGAGGAATTGAACCCAGGGCTTCATGCATGCTAGGCAAGCACTCTACCAGTAAGCCCATCCCTTATTACTCCATTTTACAGATGAAGACACAGAAGCACCAAGAGATTAGCTAGCTTGCCCAAGATCACACAGCTGACAAGCAGCAGAGCAGATATTCAAATCCAGTCAGTTGGTCTCCAAAACCCTTATTCTTACCTACATCTCACAGAGTAAAGAACTCCATGTAGGTATATGTCAAGGCCAAGGCCAAGGCAAGGAGTTCTAGTAAGGGGAGGGAATCTAAGAGGTCTTGAGGCATAGCAGAAAGTAGGCACATGGTGATCAAGGGGGCAGTCAGTGTGATGGACAACGAACAGGGCAGGGCAGGCCAGGCCAGGTGAAAGGGTTCAGGGCTTGAGTAGAGCAGGAGACAAATCTAAAAAGTTGGGCAGGTCAAGCTTTAGACAGAGATGGACATTCTAGAGTCAGAGGAGGGGCGTGCCAAGATAGCTATCTAATATAGGGAGCCCAGAAAAAGTTGGATCATAAGCTGGTAATATGCTCAGGAAATCATGAGTTTGCCCTGTGGGAGAAGGTTAACATACTTCTTGAGTGTTTTCTCCAGCTATCCAAGGGACTACCCATAGCATCGCCTCAATCTCGCACAGAAACAAAATCCCAAACTGTCCCTGCCTCAAAAACACCTTCCCCGATAAAACTTCCTTCCAGATGGTCCCCACCCAGTGTCTAAGGTGCTGGACTCTACCAAGGTATACTCAACATGCATCTATGTCACATCTGGACCACACCCAACAGCCCCAATCATGCCTTAGACTACTCACTTTTGTCTATTTTATGCCCAAGTGATGTTGGAAGGCCAAGGCTTCCTGCCCCTTCCCACCCCCACACTCACACATCACTCTTGGTGGTGTAGACACTGTAGTTCAGAGACTCTATGGCCATCCAGCGCACAGGGAGACGGCCCTGGGAGAGAATGAGTCTGGGGTCAGGGGTAGAGGAAGGGTCTAGACAGGGGCTCTGAGGGGGAGGGCTGAATGAAACTTGCCATAGTCTTCTTCACATACACCTCCTCCCCCCGAGAAAGACCAAAGTCTGCGATCTTGGAAGCCAGATTCTCTCCAACTAGCACATTGCGGGCAGCCAGGTCTCTGTGGATGAACTGCAGGTAAAGTCCGAAATCAGGGAAGGGAAGAGTGAGGGAATTCAAGATCATCAGTCTTGAGTACAGTGGGGTTTGTGTGTGGATATCTGAGGTGCCTTTAGGAACTCCAGCCTTTCTTCCTGTCCACATAGGTCTCAATCTTGGATAAGCTGACCTGTCTAGGAAAGGTCAGTGCTAGCATTTCCCTTCTTCCTGTGACCTGTCCCCTTGGCCATGTGCAGGTTGTATCCCTCTGCTTAGGACCATAATGACTACAGCACATTTTCTCTTCTTGCCATGTTTCCTACTCCCTTTCTCTCACCGTCTCCCCATTGATGATGGCCCCCTTTGAGCCTCTCTGGAGAGCCCTCCCTCGTGGCCTTCCGCCATCCTCCAAGAGTCTTCTCTATCAGCCTCTCCTCCTGTACTGGCTCTGGCTCCTAACTTTCAAAAGCCCTCAAAATTTAACTCTGTGAGATGCCTTCCCCTCCCCACCCCCCACACACACCTCTGTCTGTCAGTCATGGGGTTTGAACGTTTGAACTCAGGGCCTTGAACTCTGGGCCTGGGCGCTGTCCCTGCACTCTTCAGCTCAACGTGAGCGCTCAACCACTTGAGCCACAGCGCCACTTCCAGTTTTCTAATGGTTTATTGGAGATAAGAGTTTCACAGACTTTCCTGCCCGGACTGGCTTTGAACTGTGACCCTAAGATCTCAGCCTCCTGAGTAGCTAGGCGTGAGCTACTGGTGCCCAGCCCCTGATCTTTTTTGCTCAAGGCTGGTGCTCTACCACTTTGAGCCACAGCTCTACTTCTGGTTTTCTGGGGGTTAATTGGAGATAAAAGTCTCATTGATTTCCCTGCCCAGGCTCACGGCCTGGTGTGGAACAGTGATCCCCAGATCTCAGCCTCCTGAGTCGCCTGTAGGTGTGAGCCACCAGTGCCTGGCTCACTTTCCTTAGGCTCAAATTCTCTTCTGGGAGCAGTCCCCCCACCTCTTTCCTTTTACCCTTCACTCCCCGCTGGAGTTGCATCTTGGAGATGATAGCTCCTAGACTGTTTTTTCCTGCCCAGGCTTCTCTCATGGCCTCTCATCCACAGTTGTCCATTCCAACAGAGCAGACTTTCCCTCAGGTCCTTCAGGTGCTGTACCTTCCCCAGCCTGCCTCTCATTCGCTGCTCCCTCACGATGGCCCTTCAGTGGTCTAGAATCCGAAGTCATGTCCTTTTCCTTGTTCCTCAGCCCTCCTACCCAGGAAGAGCCACTCATTTTGCCTCTTGAGGTTGGTTCAGGCCCTGCCCCCCCCACACTCACACATACCTGCTTCTCACTCAGGTACTGCATGCCATTGGCAGCATCACTGGCAAAGCGCAGCAGTTGCCTGGAGCTAAGGGTGGATGCTGTGCCATGCTCTCGGGCAAAAGCTGGATCAGTCTCCAGTACCCGGCTCTTCCGAAGAAAATCTAGCAGGTTCCCGTAGGGGGCATATTCGATAGCAATGTACAAGTAGCCTGGAAAGTGAAGAGATAGAGGGTGGTGATTCAGAAACAGACCGTGTGAGCAGTACCTGATGGTAAGAGATGGGAAATGTGAAGCATGCAGCAGAATGGAGTGATAGGTGGTTGAGCAGCTCTTTGCAAGCCACTGATATAGAAGTAATGGCCAATGGTGGGGCTTTAGAAGAAAAGGGTAGGTGATGAATGGAGAGCTCACCTCGGTTCTCACAGGCCCCCAAGAGATTGATGATGTTAGGATGATGCCCCAATTTGCACAGAACTTCTAGTTCTCCTGCAAAGTCCCGATGGTCATTTTCTGATGCATACTCTGTGTAAAGAGTCCAGTGTCACTTTTGCCACAAATAAATCGGGAGAAAGGTCATGGGCTGTTGAGGCCTAGAGGCAATTGCTGGTAGAAACAAGGTGGGTTTGGGATCTTTGGGGGACAGAGGGTCAGGCTGGGGTTAAGGCACCTTTGAGCATTTTGATGGCTGCATTCATCTTGAGACCATCCTTCTTGATCATGGCCCGGATGACTTGCCCGAAGTTCCCCTCCCCGATGAGATCCTCAAAGGTAATATCTTCCCACTCAAGCACAGGGTAACTGAGGGGCTCTGGCTGAGGTTTTGGCCTTCGGGTCAGGGTCAAGGTTCCTGAGCTGAACTGCAGAATGGTCTCTTCTCCCTTTATGGGATGAGACAAATGGGAAGACACAAGAAACACAAGGACAGGAATACAAGGAAAAATGGACAGAGGGCACCCTGGAGCTCAGCTTGGGACAGAGACTTAAACTGACACAGAATCAGAGGTAAGAGAGCCACAGGAGGGTGGTTGGCTGAAGAGGTATCCCAAAAGAGAAATGCTGAGGCAACAAGCTGGAGGTTTAGAGTATGGAGCTCTAGAAGGTAGAACCAGGACTTACGGGGAAGTCATTAGAACGCTGCCAGGTGAGTCAATAGAAAGAAAGATGGCATTTTGACATTTAAAACAGAAAAGAACTAGAGTGAGTTGTACTGGAAAGTAGTGAGCTTCCCATTATTGTGCTAATCCTACAAGTAGGCTTTTTTTTTAAAACCCCAATCAGGGGAGATGACGGCTTTGAGTACATTTAGTGAGCATCTCCTACATACTAAGCCCTTGGATACTCAGAGCCAGTGTTAGAGTTTTCTTCCCCACAGTAATAGAAGCAGAGATTACTCTTGCTCACCCACTTGGCATCTAGCCATAGCTCTAAAGTCAGGACCTGAAGAAAGCAGGACCCTAACAAAGAAGAATGGACATTCCATGTATGAAGTTGGAGGTCTGTCTGGGCCAGGTTGATGGCAGGAGAGGGGATCACTGACCAGGACCAAGGAGCTGCAATATGAGAACCAGAAGGAGGATCACCACAAACTTGTGGTGGGATGAAATAATCCCCAGTTTGATGGGCAAAGCTGGGGACATAGGTCACACGGATGTACACAAAACATGGATGGTTGAAGGCACACATCAGAATGCACCAGCATGTTCTGTGGCCTCACCATACACAGATGCATGCATACAGACCTACACATGCACACCTATGAGCACCTTGAGGATGCACAAGGACACATTCATTATGCATGGAGTACCCACACTGGGAAACGCTGGTACACATGCACACGCATTCATATCCACACATTGCTGTATGCAAGCACATGTAACAGGGATGCATCTTGATGTGTTAGGATCATATGTGCATTAAAGGCTGCTTTCTCACTGCCTTTCCTCAATGTTTGTCCCAGTTACCCTCCCCCTTGGCCCCCTGGCAGTGATGGCTTTCTGTGTGTGCTGACCTCAGAAGCAGAGACAACATCGTCTGAACAAAGAAGCCAATTGAAACTCTGGATGGATTTTTTAAAGGCATGGCAGAGTCACTGGCCTTGGACACTGGGCTTTCTATCACAAGAATCAACCCTTAAGAGAGAAGAGGGTTGTTGTTTTTTATTTGTTTGTTTTCTTTTAAATGTTAAAGCTTGGCTCCAGATATCAAGAACTAGACCTGTGGGGTCAAGGGTAGAGTTCAGATCCCAATGACAACAATGGGACTTGTTTAAAAGAGACAAGCCCAGTATGATGAGGTGATATTGAGAGATGCCAGCCCCCCTCCTTCACCTCACATAGATAGCTGGCCAGAGGATTGACCTACAGGAAGACAGAAAACTCAGGCAGGTTAGCAGGGAATCCTGGAAGAAAAGACACATACTTTGCTTCTCATGTGTGAAGACTGAGGCAATGCTAGAGGGGCAAAGCCAGCTATATTATTTGGGGTCACAGCCCTATACTGCTGCCTTCTGCAGAGTACAGGCAAGCACAGAGCAGTTTCTACAGAGGGCTTTGGGATCTGGGAGAATGGAGGCTAGGATAAGAGTCCACAGCCTGAGTGTCCTGTTGGCAGGAGAACAATTCAGGCCCAGATGTGTGAGGACAAGAGGCTGGTTCCCAAGCGGGGAGAGCCTGTAAGAATAGACCCAGTTGCCTCTCTAGGATATTACCATGCCATCTAGGCTGGCAGCACTCCCACGGGAAAGTTCAAGAATGGGAGGAGAATCTCAAATTAATCACCTCCAAGCCTGAAGTTGGCCAAGGTTACAATACAAACAAAACTGAGTTCTCTTGAGCTGAAAATGTTAAATATTTCACCACTAAAATGCAAATGGGCTCCAGCTGAGTTCAGTTCTACAAGAAGAAAGAAAATGGTATTTTGCACTGTTGAGTGCAATCTTACATGTGTAACATTAACACCTAAGTTAATGTACTGTGTACAAGTATCTGCATATGTATGGGCAGAAACACACACACGCACACACACACACACACACACACACACACACACACACACACACAAAAACAAAGGGCAGAGCCAAGGACACTCACTGATCCTGACTGGTAGGTGAAGGTCCGCCTCCGATGTAGGCAGGTTCTACGGATACACACCAGGGCTAGTAGAGCAGCCAGGATGGTGAGGCAGGTGGCAGAGATGGAGCCTACTACAGCCAGGATCAGCTGCTGATCTAGGCCCTCTTCAGCTGCCCGGCTCTCTTGGACTGGGCCTTCACTCTGTAGCCCTGGACACAATGAGGAACAGATTGGGGGATGCCTGCGTTGAGGAATCGTAAGGCCACCCACAGAGGAAAATGGGTGAAAAGATGAAAGATCCCAGCACTAGAACATGGGGAGGTAATCTGTATGAAGAGGCCATGGGGAGCTGTATGATTGTTCCAGCTAGCTCAGAGCTTGTGTCACTTGTTGGTTGGGGCCTGGGATGTCATAGCTTAGCTCTAAGATAGGGGGGGTGAGGTGGAACCCAACCAGTTCCAGAGCCCGGGAGTCCTTTGGACATTTCCCTCTCACCATTGCCCAGGGTGGCCTCTTCTACTGTGTTGCTCCAATCTCCAAGACCCTGCACGCTGGCTCGCACACGGAACAAGTAGCGTGTGCTGGCATTGAGGCCACGGACAATGGTACTTGTCTCTTCGGGCCTGTCCACATCCATCCACTGTGGGTCTCCTGAGCCTCCGGCCACTTGAACCTCCACAATATACTTGGATATAGGCCCAGAGAGGGCCTCTGGTCGCTGCCATGTCAGCTGGATCTCAGAGTCAGAGAGGGCCTGGGCCTGGAGGTGCCGGGGGACTGGAGATCCTAGGGAGAGGGGAGTGAGAAGGCAGAGCCAGACTGGACCAGCTAAGTAGCTGAGTGGTCATTCACATTCATTCCGCTATGCCCCCTGCTCTGGGAACCCCAGAATGGGAACCACATTGGCACCTTCCTCCATCCTCCCAATCTTGGATGGATTAATCTTTATTCCTAGGCCACATTCAGCCTTATGCTGCTTGTTCCTCTAATTCTGGTATCTCTGTTTCTCTCTCTGTTTCCCCAAACTCCATCAAGCCCTCCCCATTACTCAGGCTCACATAAACCATGACCTTCCCATCCTATATGCTCTGGTGATGGAGTCATCCTCCTTAGGTTCCATGTCCTGTCTGACACCTGAGATACATCCTACATTCTCTCCATGTCCACCCAGTCTCCCGAAACCTCCTGTGTCTCTTGAGTCTCCAGGGTCTTTATGTTTCCCATCCTCATCCCCAGCCCTTCACCTCGCCCTGAGCATACCACTGGGGGGCAGAAGGACGTGTGCAGGGGGTGAGGCAGGGCCCAGGAGGGTGCAGTGGTAGAGTCGCACATCCAGCTGGTAGTGGGTGCCAGGTGTGAGTCCAGTCAGGAGGGCAGTGCGGGCCTGGGGGGACGAGACATTCTCCCGCCGCTCCTGCCCCCGTGCTCCATCCCATAGACGCAGCAGGAAACCGTCACCCACCAGGGGCCCGGGTACCGAGGGTAAGGACCAGCTCACTCGCAGCCGGTCAGGGCTCTCCACCTGCCAGCCCTCCAGCCATGGCTGCAACGAGGGCTCTGGGGCCAAGAGATCAAGGGTCAGAACTGTCAAATGGGTTCTTGGGGCTGGATGGGGCAATGATTCCCAGTGGACAGGGTAGGAAAAGCTCTTATAGGGTAGGGAGGAACTCCTGTGCTAGATAGGATGTAACAACTGTGAGTAGACAGGGCAGTAGCCCCTGAGGGAGATAGGGAAGAATAACTCTTAGCTTCTCACCAGGACAATCCGTGGTCATGAGGGTAGGAGGCCCCCAGTTCCCCTCTCCTCCTTCCCCTGGCCGGCTTAGCTGTACTCGGACACTGTATCCTGTCTTCGGCCTCAGATTCATTAATGTGACATTCTCACTGGGGTCCACTGTGGGTAGAGCATGCCACATATGTTTAGTCCCAGCTGCTTTCTGAGGCCACCATGCCCCACCCCCTACTCCACCCTCCCTCCCTTTCCATTCTCACCTTACCCTCCCACTTCCTCCAAGCTCTATACTTCCCTAGTACTCTTCCCACTCACCCACAATGGCAGACCAGGCCATCATGCTGTCCTGGGGCCGGTAGTGCAGGCGGACAGAGGAGATGGGTCCATCTCCAGAGAATGAGACCAGTGGGGAGACCACGAGCTGGCGGCTCTGCTTGGCCAGGAGCCGAGGTGCTGTCAAAGGCACTGGGGGTACTGCCAGGAGACTCAGGGTAAGACTCACTGCTTTGGGCTTTGGACATCTCTATGTATTGGTTTGGATCTGAAGATCCTCTGGACTAGATGGGAAAAGACCAAGTTCAACAGATGCCGGAAGTGACTAGGGCCCAAGGACATAGTTCTCTTGCCTGTACAGCTTGGGGAGCATAGGACACAGCTATAAGGACATAGGTTTCTCAAAAGATGTGAAGTGAGAGTGTGACATGGTCAGACAGGGGTTGTGGAAGAGCACTGTGTCCACACAGAAAGATAGACAGAAGGGTCTGGAATACAAGGCAGGGGACATTCTGGGTGCTCTCTGCTCTTCTTCCACCTCCCCGTGAGAGGTGCCAGAGATGAACTGTCTGCTCTGCCCTTGGTGTTCCATAAGCTTAACCTCTAACTGTCACAGGTAGTGTTTAGGTGGGGCTCACTGCTTCAGTGGTATAAATGGAAAAACTGAAGCTCAGAGATACTGAATAACTAAGGGCACCTGACCTGGACTCCTCAAATCAACTCTACCCCCTTCTACCATGGTCACTGTCTCTATTCTGGCCTCAGCTTTTCTCTCCAGATTATTGTATGAATGCCTTTTGTTTTCTTGCCTCTTCTAAAAAAATTCCACTGAGGATATGAAGGAACAAAGGCAGGCAGGCAGCAGGGAAGGAGGTAGGCAGATAGGCATGGAGAACAGAAGATGCAGAGTAGTAAGCTGAAGGAGTATCAGGCAATAACGAATATGTTGGGAGCAGGTGCAGATTTAGTGAGGGAAATGAAGTTCAGTTTGGATCTTGAGAAGCCTGTAGTTCATGTTGTTCATGCAGGATCAGCTATACAGGAGGTAGCTGGGTTTAAGCTGGGCCCCTAAGTCATATGCCACTAAACAACCATGCTGACTTTAGAACAAGACTTCCACAGAATTTCCACCTAACTTCATGGAGATCCCACCAAACAGCTCTGGGGTTAGGAGAGGTAATTGCAAAACACAGGTAGGAGTCCCAAGGGTTGGCGTCTTGGAAGTAGATGCCATTTTAAATGATAATAACTATCAGTATATACTGAGCACAAACCCTGTGTCAGACAGACGGTGTGCTAATTACTTAAACGCATCATCTAGTTTAGTCCCAGAACAGGCCCTACCCAATGAGTCCTTTTAAGAGGAAGAGAAACTACCTCAAGGTAACAGGGCTAGGAGTACACACCCAAACCCACCCCCTGTCCTGGAGATTGAACTTAGAAACTTAAGTTTGCTTGGAAAATACTCTTATCCCTTGGGCCACTTGCCCAGTTCAGGAGCTAGGAATTTTTAGAGAAAGAATTCAAATCTCATTCAAATGAAGGTGTGAGCCTGAAGCCTGGGATGGCAAAGGCTGATGGGGGGAGTCGGCTGAAGGTGGATCTTGGTGATGGATCAGGATGATAGGGTGGGCATGGTGAGGAACTGAGAAGCAGAGTGTGGAGGTGAGAAAGAGGTCAGTGCTTATATAGAGGAGGGGAGGTAGGGGCAGAGGTCAAGTAGAGCCTGGTGGTGGTCAGGAGTGTGGGCTGCCCAGGGATGATGGTGCTGAGGTAAAAGGATGCCTAGTCCAGGGAAGGGGTGCTCTATTCAGAGAGCGATCCTGGGCATTGGAAGTACCTTTCTTATTCATCTGGCTGATTCCAGTGCATGTACTTGTTCTGGACAGCCAAGCAGATGTCCATGTGGAGTGGTTCAGAAATGGAACAGTATGCTAGAGACAAAGTTAAAAGCATACTGTGTGCAGTGGTGGTAGGAACATGGCTAGGTAGGAGGCAAGGCAAGTCTAGAGATATCCTCAGTTTCTGAATCATGGGATGCCCTTTTCAGATGGGACCAAGCTATGTTCCAGCCTTGACACTGCCCAGCCCAGATTTCTTTTCTTTGCCTGGTGCTGGACAGTGACCTAGATGTCTTTGACCTTTGGCGAGGATCCCTGGTGTGACCAGCATCAAATAGTCCCAACTGTACCCACTTTCCATTCTCCAATGACCTTAAGATATCACTGACCTTTGACATTGACCTTGAATCGCCGGCTGTCTTGGCCACCAGATGTGGACACACGGCATTCCCACAGCCCGCTGTCCCCAAGAGCCAAGCGGGGTACGTCGAATTCAGCTGTGGTCCTGTCTGGCTCCACAATGGATTTGGTAGGCTAAGAAAGACAAAGGGGAGAGGAACAGAAAATGTACAGCCATGAGGCAGATCTCAAGTCTTTCTGGACTACTGGTGAGATAGGATCCCAGAGACATCTTACTAACTAACCAGATCCTATTGGAGCCATGGCCAGGCTACTAGGCAGAGCCTACAGAAAATTCTGAAGGGTTAGGGGACTGAGGAATCAATTGTAAAGCTGGTGGCATTAGGGCTGACCAGGAACACGGTGCCATCTGGCTTTCGTAGCTCTATGCTGCCCCGTACTGGGAAGGGGTTTCCTGCAGCTGCACAGTTGATCCGTGGCATCGTCTCTAAGTTGAACTCCAGTTCTGAGGCCATGTTGAGGATCTGGGGGATCCGGTCTGGTATGAGAGAAAGGACACTCATCCTGGTGCTCCCATAAAGCAGACCCTTGTCCACTGAAATTCACCTCATTCTTTGCCCTGCATCTCAGCGGAGGCCTCAACACTTCTAGGCACTTAAGCCTAGAAACCAGCAAAGTTCTGTCCAACACAACTGCTCTCAGCCCCAGATCAAATCAGCCTCAGCTTCCACCTCCTACCCCTCTCCCAACGCACTTCCTACAATCCCCCTAATACTCACAGCCAGGCCTATCACCACTCTCACAGCCAAAGCAGTTCAGGGCTTGTTCCTTTCTGGTCCCTGGCCACAGACTCCTGCTTCTGTACTTGGCCCAGCCATGAAAGGTTCTTTCTAACACAAGCCTGACCACCTTGTGTCCCTTCAACAGTTTTCATTCTCTCTTGTTATATTGAATGTGTAAACCCTTTGGCCACATATTCAAAGGCCAGTCCCTTAGCCTCAACGTCACTGTCCTGGTACCCAAACCTGAGTCTCAATGCCTGGGCTTTCTCCACATTCTTTCCTGGCCATTTCTCTCTTATCCGCTGCATCCAGTCTCAGCTCTTCCGTCCTCCCAAAAGCCTTCCCTTATTCTCATGCTGCTCTGGGTTTCCTTTGGCTCTATACTCTGGTCTGCCATCTTCCATGATATGGGAGGCTGAATGGTGAGAACTCCTGGCAGACTATTTGCTGCCTGAGGGCGAGAATTGGGCAAATAACAAGGCAAGGAGGGGAGCTAGGGAGGTATTCGGTAAAGGCTGACTAGACTTGAGGGGTCTCAGAGACCCAGATGCTCATACCTGACTTCTCACAGTGTACTCCATGCCACCCAGAGGGGCAAACACAGCCACTGAAACGGTCACAAGTGCCACCATTCTGACACTGGCACTGAAGGCGGCAATCAGCCCCAAAATAACCAGGGGCACAGGCTGGCGAGAGAGGAGATGTGGTTAGACGGGAGGGCCTAGGGCCAGGGGCCAAGAGAACACAGATGGGGTCTGGTTTGCATAACAGTCTGAGTATAGAGACCATCAGTCAGGTGACTGTGGAGGGCTTGGTGTGTAAATCAGAGTCGGAGTGAAGAGTCTGGGCCAACCTAGCGGCCATGGAGGCCATGAGTGAGTCCGTACCTTCCTGGCACTGGCTTCCTCTCCAGCCAGATCCACAAGAACAGCCATAGGGGTCTGGGAGGCAGAAAGTGAGGCCCCGACAGCCTGCTGTGCCTGCACATTGCTCCTGGCAGCTCTGCCCAAAACGGCCCTCTCTGCAGGCTAGAAAGAAGGTGTGTGGGTGTACTGGCCCCTGTTCAATACCACAGTCCTCATCTTAGCAGGCACCTCCACCCTCCAAGCACCAATGCCTTGGTTCTAGGACTTTCCCCGCTGGGCATTCTTTCTTGCCTGGGTCCTAGCTGCCCTCCTCCTTACCCTGCTCACAGCGGGTACCGGTGAATCCGGGGGGACACACACACTCCCCATCATGGTCATGGCAGACACCTCCGTGCAGGCAGCCTGGGCATTCCTTGGCACACCCTGGTCCCCAGCGTCTGGGCCCACAGCCTGGAGGACAGTGACTTCAGCCGCTGACTTTCACCTACCTTCCCACATAGACTGAAGACTGGGGTAGCTCAAGGATCCTTGGGAGCCCACAAGAAGTACCCATGGGGCTCATAGCCTCCCACACCACCCACGACCTCTGCTCCTGACCCCGCACGATGAGCCGAAAGAAGGCACTGCCTAGGGGGCTAGCTTCCAGGTAGGTGGCACTGTAGATGCCGCTTGATGGTGGCTGTACATTTTGGAGCTGCAGCAAGAATCTCCCATTCTGGGCTTCATGCCAGTCCAGGGTATGGAAATAGGATCCTGGGGATGGGGGATACAAATGGTTAGGGGCCTCAGCGCAGCAAGGTTACGGGCCTCCCTCTGCCCAAGTCACATCCACATGCCCCATGGATCAGATCTGGGGATAAAGCACCATGCGATGTTGGTAACCAAGCCAGAAAGCTGGGGAGCAGCCTCTTCTTCATACTTTGGGAACCACACAGTAAATCACCAAGTTCTATCCAGTCTACTTCTTCCCCATATTGTAAAACAAGCCAACGTCTCCCCACACTTACTGCCCCCACCTTGGCCTTAGCCTCCAGCTGCTTAGTACATGGACTTTGCCTCCAGGTTGGATCTTTCTAACAACCTCCACTTGCCCACCCACGGGATTCTTCTATAACATTCCTTAGCACCCCTCACCTTTCAGACTCTCAGAGCACTCCACTGCCCTCAGGACAAAAACTCAACTCCTTAGCAGTTGTTTTTCTCCAGTTGAGTCCCCAAACCCGCTCCCATATTCTCTGTACCTTGCCTGACGCCTAACATTCCCGAATTGCTTGTTCTCTGCAGGAAACATCTGGTTTTTCAGACCCTCCAAGCCTTTGCTCTTGTCAGTTAGGCTTCCTGGAATGCCTTTCCTCCTTTCTTGCCTGCCTCGTTTGTCTTCCCACTTCTGAGCACAGTTGTAGATGCCCTTGAGTCTACTGTTTTCCTCTACAGGCTCTCCTTTCAGGGCTTACACTATTAGCCAATGTTCAGTTCTTGCCCCAGCCCCTTCTTGTATCTGCTCAGGACAGCACTGATAATCTAGAGAATGATGTCTCTTGCTACATCTGTCCAGCTCAGGGGCTCTGGAGCTCAGGGAACAAACACTTCTTTCTCAGGAGCCCATGGATGCAAGAGTCTTGAGATGTAAACAGCAGGTCTGAGAGCTCTCCATTTCAGTAGCCAAAAGGTCAGATAGGGTTAAGGAGAAGGGCAGGCGTACAACTGTAATCCATAGGTCTGTCTACCATGGGCATCAAGAGTCAGGGCTGGGTAGATCTTTGGACGAGCTGGACTTTTCAAGCCTGTGTTGAACACCTTGGTAGAGGTTCTTTTTGTCCTTGTAGGGACTGCTGCTCTCACCAGGAGGGATGTTCCTACCAAGATGGGCTACATGAACCTGCTAACACTCAGGGGAGAGGCAATTGTGGGCACTTTAGCACTTAAGAGGTAGCTGACTATTGGCTCCTCATCTCCTAGTACAGTAGGAAGGTGACTCAGCGCTAGAGCTGATAGGTCCAAAGGATCTTGTTCAGGACAGAAAAGGGGCCCCAGGAGCTGGGCACCAGTGGCTCATGCCTGTAATCCTAGCTATTCAGGAGTCTGAGATCTGAGGATTGCGGTTCAAAGCCAGCCTGGGCAGGAAAATCCATGAGGTTCTTAGATCCAATTAACCACTAGAAAGCCAGAAGTAGAGCTGTGGCTCCAAGTGATACTACTATGAGCAGGAGAGCACAGGGACAACTCCCAGGCTTTGAGTTCAAGCCCCACCACTGACAAAAAGAAAAGAAAAGGGGCCCCTTGTTCAGAAAGGGAACAACACATTAAGCTCAAGCCCCTGAAGGAGAAGGCAGTGCAGGGGTGGTCAGAACCAGCGTCCATCTGCCCAACCAAATGCCCTTCTCACCGTTGTTCTTCCAGATGACATCCGTCTGCTTTTCCCTGTGCACCCGGGCAGAAAGCACAGCGGTGTCGCCTTTGTTCACTGTGTGCGTGACCTTGTCTGGGAACAGGTGGGCTGTGGGTGGAGTGTGAGGTCAGTGTTGGGGGCGGGCATCCTTCCTGGGACCCTCCCCCCTGCAGGCCGCACTCACCCCCGGGGCTGTTGTGCACGTAGAGGACCCGCGTGCGACGTGTCCCGGACCCGCCCAGGCAGGAGAAGACGCCCACCAGGTCGGAGGGCTTGGAGAAGCCCCGCAGGGTGACCTGGTGGGAGCCGTTGCGCACCACGTGCAGGGGCTGTCCCGGCGGGAGGGTGCGCACGATGCGGTCGTCCTTCTCCAGCAGCAGGGGTGGACCCCAGACGTCCGAGCCCCTCCCTGCTCCCGCCTCTCCGGACACACAGGTCAGGAAGAAACGCTGCGGGTCGGTGAGGCGCAAGTTGGCCAGTAGTGTCAGGTCCACCGCTGCACCTGGGGGAGGACAACGGTGACTCCATGGTAGCCTCCGCCAATCCTCTAGCCTTAGAGCCTCTGCTCCAGTCCTCTGAGCCCCTCTGAAGGGGAGCCTCTTTTCCCTTTCCTGGTACCTGCCTTCACCCCTTCCCTGCCAGACACCTCACTACCTTAGGTCTCTCTGTCTCTGTCTCTGTCTCTGTTTCTCCCCCCCCCCCCCCTTCTCTCTTTTCTCCCCTTCCTGGTGCCCTGAGGCCCCTTACCCTGGAACAAAACCCAAACCATATAAACCTCTGGCTCCTGCCAGATGGCTTCCCTTGACAGTCCAGCTTCCCAAGGGAATGATCTTTGCTCCCTCCTTTCCTCTTTGTGAGACCCCTTAGCTAGGCTCCTCTTTAAAACTGCTCTGCCAACTTTGCCTCGGAGCCATTTCTAGTTGCTCTTATCAGGAGATGTAGTCTGGAACAAGCATGGAGACCACAGTGTCTCCATGCCCCCTCCTTGTCATTACAAAAATGGAGAAATAGTAGATATGTCGAGGTTTCAGGTGGGCCTGGAGCAGAAACAAAGCTGGCCCTGTCCTGTCCAGAGATACAGGGGGAGACTTGGGACCCAGGTGGGCGCAGACATGGTTGGGGCTAGGTCTTTGCTGACACAGAACTCACTGCTTAGTTGAAGGGACAGACATGGACGCTGTGAGCTGAAGAGGTGCTCTGTGTGGGAGCAGAGAGGGAACTTATCCCAGCCTGAGGGAGGAGGAGGTGGAGGGGTATCTTCAGAGATAAAAATTAAGGGCTTTTGGGTCTGGGAAGGTGGCTCAGTGGTAGAGCGCTTGCCTTGCATGCATGAGGTCCTAGGTTCGATTCCTCAGCAGTATATAAGCAAAAAGAAAAAAAGCTGGAAGTGGCGCTGTGGCTCAAGTGGTAGAGCGCTAGCCTTGAGCTGAAGAGCTGAAGGACAGTGCCCAGGCCTAGAGTTCAAGCCCCACAACCGGACCCCCCTCCAAAAAAAACAAAACAAAAAACAAAACAAAACAAAAACAAACTTGAGGGCTTTTGAAACTTGGACAGGATACTGTGGGTGAAGAGAAGGGAGAGGAGAGGGCTACAGGTGTGGGCATTCTAGGCACAGGGAAAGGTATGGCATGAAAACCATGGTATGTGGGGAGGGAGCTGTTCAAGTTTGGGTGACTGAAGCACAGCCTGCAGAGACCATAAAACTAGAGGCTAGTTAGTCCACCTTAGCTTCATGACCTCACACCTTCCAGGCCCCCTCTTTCCTATCCCTGCTTGTTAACTATCCAGTCATTAATTAATTTAAAGGTCATATAGTTTATTAGTTACTATCCTTTGAAAGCCTGCCATAAATGAGCAAATCTGGCATTTACTGGTAGCCTACCAAAACTCTTTCCCCATTGAGTCTTCATGGCCTCTATTGAAGGATGACATTCTTTCTATTTACAAGGAATGATCATTATGATCCTACAAGCTTCTTTGAACAAGTTCTTCCACTTTTGGGCTTTAACTGTCACCTCTGAGTCAGTACTGGGCATAATCTTTCTCCTGAATAATTTTCCACAGTATTTCCCAAACCTGCTGGGTTATTTGACTCAGGAGAATACCTGCTACCCAAGACCATGACTAAGGAGTCCTGTCATACAACCATTGTGAAATAATGGAACTTTATTGACTATTAACTATGCAAGGGGCACTTTACTGATGTTCTCTCATTTTCCATCTTGACTATCCTGGAAGGTGGGTGTTATTAGACCCTTTTTGTAGCCAGGAGAGGAAGAACCAGAGAAGTTAAGCAACTTGCCCAAGGCCATACAGTCAGTAACTAGCAGAGCCAAGTTGTCCGAGTCTAAAATCCATAGTATTGAGCATCCTGATGACTTACAAAATTCTGCAGAATGCAGAATGCAGAATGCTTCCTAAAAACCCCTTGACACCATCCCCATCTCCCAAGCCCATTTTTGTTCAAGCCTCACCTGAACCATCCCAGCAAACATCCTCCCCGCTCCCAGCTCATCCTCCAAAGTGATCCATCTGACTCAAAACCACTTTGTGAGCCAGGTGCTGTCATCTGGCACCTATAATCCTAGGTACTCAGGCGGCTGAGATCTGGAGATCCCAGTTCCAAGCCAGTCCAGGCAGGAAAGTTTGTGAGACTCTTATCTCTAATTAATCACAAAAGGCCAGAAGTAGAGCTGTGGCTCAAGTGGTAGATTGCTAGCTTTAAGAAAAAAATAAATAAATAGAAGAAGAAGAAGAAGAAGAAGAAGAGGAAGAAGAAGAAGACCCAGCAGCAGCAACAGTAGCAGCAGCGGCAGCTCACACCTTGAGTGTAAGCTCCATGATTAGCACAAACAAACAAAAGCCACCTTGTGACTCTTGCCTATAATCCTATATGGCTCCCCACTGCTCTCAGGAGAATGTGCATGCTCCTGAGCACTTGTATGCTCACAACTTATCTCTCTGACTACTTTCCCTACAAGCATCTTTTCTCCTATGTACTTCAAAGCCTCTGAGATGTGCACTTATTATTTTGGCTTCCACCCCTCTTTTTATTGTTATTATTAAGGTGATGTAGAGAGGGATTATAGTTATATAAGTTAGGTAAAGAGTACATTTCTTTCTGGACAATGTCACCCCTTCCTTCGCTCTCTCTCTCAGTTTTTCCCTCCCATCTTCACCCATAAGTTGTATAGTTCGTTTTCAACAAAGTGTCTGGTGAGTACCAATGCTGTATTTTTTTTAACCCTCTGTCCCTCCATTTCTGTGCCTTCCGTTAATACTTCCAGAGACATATAAATGAACAGAACAAAAAGAAACGAAAACAAAAGTAGCAAAAAAAGAAAAAGACTCTTGTTTTCATTTCCTGGAATTCATTTCGATAAATATTATTTCCTATGATCATGGATGCACATAGGTATTGTGCCTTCTGTTCTTCTCCTACGAGTATCTTCCTTCGGTCTCACTGTATGTGAATGCCTAGAAACCTGTATAATTTATTATGTTCCGGTATTTTAGATCTAGCTTTCACATACTTCCACTCCTCTTAATGAAATCTTTCCAAACTCCATTTTTTCGTCTGCTACCTGAGGCAGAATAAGGTGGCTCCTGCTTCTCATTGCCTCCTCTCCCCTCACGCCCCCTCCCCTTGTCTGTCTCTGTTTAGCCTTCATCCTTGGGCCTGTGTTCCCCACTAGACAGCAAACCACTCAAAGGCAGCTTCTGTGTTCTAGTTCTCTAGACAGCAGACTGAAGAAACCAGCCCACTTGTTCAGAAAGCTTTGTCAAGAGCCAGATGCTGTACTGAGCACACTGCATACATTATATTGGCTAAACACTATAGGAGCCATAGGTCAGCATCATGGCAGGTCTAGAGATTGCCGGCCCCAGGTATTGGGATATTCTTGATGCTCAATAAATCTTGTCCAGTGAATAATTGAGCTCAACACACCTGTAAGTATGCACTGAAAATGTCACAGGGCCATTGACTACTCCCACTGACCCTGAGATTCAGCCCTCAGTGGCTGTCCACACCCCTGCGCTAGGACCAGGCTGCAGTGATTTCTAGCTCTAGCATCCTGATTGCACTTTCTGGCTGGTCAAAGTCATAACAATGATGATAACAGTATCCTTTTTTTCCTGATTATTTTTTACTATGGTAAAATACACAAAACCTAGACTTTACCATCTTAACTATTTGTAAACACATTGTTCAGTGTTATTAAATACATTCATTACATTGTGCAAACACCACTGTCTATCTCCTTAATTCTTTTCATCTTATTAAACAAACTCTACCCATTAAACAATAAGTCCTATTTCCCCTCCCCAGCTCATGGCAACTACTATTAGGCTCTGTCTCCATGATACAACAGGGTTTCTTAGAGGAACAAATAAAGGCCTTGGAGTCTGGAAATAAGGTGGAGGGGAACGAGGTGGGTGGGAAAACTTACCAACATGAGAGGCCAAGAAGAGAACAGGCAACAGGAAAAAGGAGCCCAGCCAGACCATACTCCAGAAACTCACCCAGGCCAGCCAGGACCGACTAGGCCTGGGCTTAGTTGCTGTGGTCTGAGTTCTTGGCCTGTACTGATCAGTGTGCCCTGGTGCTGGGGAGGAAAAGGAAATGAGGTGGCTTAGATGGGAGGGGTGGTAGGAGAGGGGTGGGGAAGGTTTGTCTTGTTTCCCAGTCTCTAGCCCCCCCAGTCCAGCTCACATGAGGCTAGGGATGAGTGTGGCCTAGAAGGCTCTAAAAGGAGCCTTCCCTCCGCCTGAAAGGTGGGGGTCAGGAGAAGGTATGGCCAGGACAGCGCTAGAGATGTTTGGGTGGATGTTTCCCATCCCTTCTCCCTTCAGCCCTGAGTCTTGCTGGCACACAGGAGGCAGGAAAGGGAGGAAGCCAGTGGCTTCCGCCTATTGAGGAGGTTTGGAGGCAGGACATTGTCCTGTGATCCCCCCTCCTCCCAGCACAGATACACAATGCAGCCCATGTGACTTTTCATGGCCTTCCAGGACACAGGCAGCGTTGCGTAGGATTTTAGAGAGGAGTTCGCATGCATCCTAAGGATCTTTTTCTAAAAGTATGTTTTTTTAATTATCTTTAAGTAGTTGTGCAAAGGAATTGCCACTCAGTTAAGCCATTGAATTGCCACTCAGTAAAGCCCTTAATGAATACAATGCATCCTGATCAATGTCACCTCTTTGTCAGTCTCCCCCATCCCTTCCAACTCCACCTCTTCCAAGGATCTTTTGGGTCTGAGAATGTACACCCAAAGGAACACAAGGCTCGCAAAGATCCTTTCAGTCCATCTTGCAAAATTCTCTTACTTTACATGTGGAAAACTTAGACCTGAAGAGCTTAAGAACATACTGAAGTCATGTCAATGCTGGGGCTTGAACTTATGACTCGGGCATTGGTATGTTAGTGCTGGTTGTTCCACAGGGATACACATTAAGCAGACTCAGGGGAGCATGCAAGCAGTGAGTGGTGATGTAGATGGCTCTTAGCTGCTGAAAAGGCTATAGCCCATTGTCTGTCTGCTGTGATTTATTTTGCAGCAAATCCATGTCTATTCCTCTGTATATGAAGGCAGCAGAAGTCTGTAAGGGAGATATACCCACTCTGTGTGTGTGCGCGTGTGCAAGTGCACGTGCGTGTGCACACATGCCATTACTGTGGGCTTAGAACTTAGGGCCTCTGACTTGACCTTTTTTTTTTTTTTTTTGGTGCCAATCTTGGAGCTTGAACTCAGAGCCTGGGCACTGTCCCCGGGCTGCATTTGCTCAAGGCTAGCACTCTACTACTTGAGCCACAGCACCATTCCAGGCCTTTTCTGAATAGCTTATTGGATATAAAAGTCTCAAAAACTTTCCTGCCCAGGCTGACTTCAAACTGCAGTCCTCAGATCTCAGCCTCCTGAGTAGCTAGGATTATAGGCATGAGCCACCAGTGCCTGGCTCACTTGGCTTTTTTGCTCAAGGCTGGTGCTCTGCTACTTGAATCTTATCTCTAGTTTGGTTTTCTTTCTTTCTTTTTCCTTCCTTCCTTCCATCCTTCCTTCCTTCCTTCCTTCCTTTCTTTCTTTCTTTCTTTTCTCTTTCTTTCTTTCTTTCTTTCTTTCTTTCTTTCTTTCTTTCTTTCTTTCTTTCTTTCTTTCTTTCTTTCTTTCTTTCTTTCGCTGGTTAATTAGAGATAAGAATCTCATGGGCTTTTCTGCCCAGGATGGCTTCAAACTGCAGTCCTCAGATCTCAGCCTCCTGAGTAGCTGATTATATGTGTGAGCTACTAGTTCCTGGCTGGGATGCATCCACTCTTAAAAGGCTGACCATATCTGGGAACAGCCCTAGTCTATTAGCCCGTCCTTCAAACCCCATGACTCAGACCTCTTCTGCATTTTCCAGACCCATTTCTCAGCACACAGATGCTCATACTCATTTCTAGCCTCAAGTAGTAGCTCCCAGAACAGAACAAGATTTGTAGTGTGAATGCTGTGCTGCAGAGAGGCTCACTGATTACCCCCTTTTAAATGGGATGCGTCAGGTGGAGCTGAGACCTAGTATCAACTTAGGTGACTTGGAAGTGCATATCCTCCTTCTGGGGCTGGGATATCTTCCAGAACTTGTTCTGGGAGACAGCCAGAGTCTCCTCTGGATATAGACTCAAATTCACTTTCCTGGAGAAGCTGGATCCCTCCACATAGGTTCGATGGTTTAGGCAACTCTTCTGAATGTTCCTGGAAATTTCCAAGTGTTTGACTCCAGCTGTACCATGAAAAGGAGATCATAAAGACCTCCCTAGCCTACAGGTATTCCTTTTCCTAGGTCAGAGGCTGACATGAGCTCTTTCTGAGCAGGCTCTGGGAAGAATGGGAGTGGTTGATGCCTTAAAATACAGCTCATTTGGTGCCAAGACCTTTGGATCTGGATTGAGAAAGGGACTGGAAAATGCTGGGGTCATTTGTGTGGCAGGGTTGCAGGTAGAGTACACTTTTGTGGAATTTGTCCTTGGCTCTGGGAAAACCTGATGGACATGATGTTATTTTGTAGATATATGGAATTACCAGGACAGTGTTTATTCTTGAAAATGACACAGAGATAGGCACAGGTGTTTTCTCTGAATAGGGAAGTTTGAGACACTAACCTTGGCATATACATAGACTCTAGGCCCATCTGTCTTCCTTACTTTCAATTGGGAAACAAATCCTGTAATTATGATTTGTAGATAAATAAAAGGCAACTGTTACAGTCCATACATAAGAATTTGTATTATACAACAATGTCCTATAAAATGTAAACTATTTTTTATTTATGTTGAATTTATGTTGCAAGTAATTTAAATAGCATCAGTTTACAAACAGCATGTGCTAAATGAAATATCACTGCATAGACAAATGTTGAGTGGGTTGTGAATACATCAGCTGTTACAATAGGAAATACTTAAACCACAATGCATAGCTTTAAGGCTTAGCGACTGGAAAATTATAGGCCAAAAATAACGCTAGAGCAAATATGTAGTTCTGTCAATTATAAGATTAACTCTACCACCCAAATAAACCAAATTGATCATGATAGAGCTAAGCCAAAGGCCATTTATAAAAAGCAAAGATGGCAGCATGACCACCTCTACATGAAGCTAATATGTCACCAAGATATCTTCCTCCCCAGAATTCTAGCTGTGGGCACCAGGGGATACGCAGGATTTTTGCTGGGCTGCCAGGGGTCTAGAACAGCCAGGCTTCTCAGTACAGCACTGAGGTAAAGCTTTGAGTAAATGCTATCTGTAATTTTAGTTTCCAAACGCTAACTTTTACTTATGTTGATTTAGCAGTGGTAAAGTAGTTAAAAGCATATAGTAGGGCCTAAAAAGTAAAGCTGGAGGTGTGGGGCACATCTGTAATTCTGGCACTTGGTAGACTGAAGCAGGAGGATCTTGAATTTGAGGCCAGCCTGGGTTATATAATGAGACCATCTCAGAAAAAAAAATCCACAATAGCTAATGGAATTAGCTGCCATTTTCTTAACTCTACTAAAAACCAGATGTGTTTCAGAACCATCCAAGACTCATTAGGACAGTGGGCTGTGGACTAAGAAGGGTTGTGTTTGCTTCCTGGTGCTGACTGTACTGAGTGACAGGGAACATTGTTATGGATTTTTCTTAGCTGCTTAGTAGATTTAGGGCTTCTGCATGTGGAGAAACACCCTTTCTCTGGGACCAGGCTAATGAAAACAAGATGGAGGCAGGTCATATATTTACTAAGCCCGTCCATATGTCAGACCTTGGGATATAAGCTAAAGGTACAACCGTGAAGAGAGATGTTACACCTTGGAACATACAGCTTAAGAAATAAGAGAGAACCTTTCATGGCACACACTTGGAAACTTGAAGACAAGACCATAACAAGACATTGAGACTCTTAAATTAACTCAAGATGGAATGCTAGTTTGCCTATAGAGAGATTCCAAGATTTTCTTTCTTTCTTTCTTTCCTTCCTTCCTTTCTTTCTTTCTTTGTTGGTCGTGGGGCCTGTACTCTGGGCCTGGGCGCTATCCCTCAGCTCTTCAGCTCAAGGTTAGTGCTCTACCACTTCAGCCACAGTGCCATTTCTGACTTTTTATGCAGCAGGGCCTCATGCATGCAAGGCAAGTACTGCACCACTGAGCCACCTTCCCAGCCCGATTCCAAGATTTCTTTTTTCTTTCTTTTTTTTTTTTTTGGGTCCGGTCGGGGGCCCGAACTCTGGGCCTGGGCACTGTCCCACAGCTCTTCAGCTCAAGGCTAGTGCTCTACCACTTGAGCTGCAGCGCCACTTCCGGCTTTTTTCTTTTTGCTTATGTGGTGCTGAGGAATCGAACCCAGGGCCTTGAGCATGCAAGGCAAGCGCACTACCACTGAGCCACCTTCCCAGCCCCCAAGATTTCTTGAGTGGTGATAGAAGGACGGACCTCTGAAATGATGAAGGTGTTAGGGTGGTAGTCCTGTGTCTTTTCTTAGGTATGACCAATGACCAATGTATGGTCTACTTAATTCCAAGGCTCTAAGAAGGCCCCAAGATATTGTTGATTGGCCCTTTGCTTTTTTATTTAGGGCTGGAACTTCTTTCCTCCAGGTTGGATCATCCTTTCATCTGACCTCCTCCACCCTTGTTCCTCCAGGAATAGAGGTGGGGGGGGGGGCGCTAGGGAAACAGAGAACAGCAGGCTATGCTGATATTAGGCAGGAGGTGGTGTGGAGCTTACCCTGAGGGGTGAGGAATATCTACCTTAAGTCCCACTGGTTGTGTACTTCAGATAATGATGGTCCTGGGCAAACATTCCTTTATCCCAGGTTTAAGCCAAGGGATTGCCCAGCTTTTACCCTGATGCTTGTGTAGAAGTCATGGATAGAGCTGATGGTGCCTGGATGGACTACAAAGTGTCAGGCAATGGAGATGAGGCAATGGCTTGCACTGCCAATGGACACAGCCCACAGACTCCTGCGCATCACATTATCTCCATCTCCTGAGATAGAGAGGATAATGGTATTTATTTGTCCATCTTTTGTTTATTTATTTATGATATTTTAAAGACATGATCATGCTATATAGCCTAGGCTGGGTTTGAACTCCTTGGG